AAAATGATAGTAGAAGGTCTCAAATGGGAAAAATAACCCTGGAAATGGATTCAAAACTAAAAATTGAGTTGTTAGGCAAGTTTCTGAAAATTTGATGAATAATGTTTTTACCGGATGAAAATATAGCGGTACAATTGCACTGAAAAACGTGTTGAGTGAAACTTGTGCTCTAAGTTTGAATATAAGTTGGAAAAGGTACTTAGGACCAAGAAATATAATTGTTGATGAAATTTGATGGATTTTAGGGTTTTTGGAGAAACGTGCCAACGGTGCACCACTAGGGGTAAAATAGTAATTTCACCAAATTACCAGAAAACTCGATTCATCTATTCAAGGGTAATTAAAGGACCTTGGTGAATGTTAAATTTTTTATAATGGATAGTTCATGAATTAATTGAAGATTAGTGGTGAGATTAAGTGAGTTTAAGTGAGGTAGCACTTGTGGGACCCACCCCTACTTAAATGACTTATGAGCACATGTAGAATCAGAATTTTTTAGTCTTCTTCCTCCTCCAAACAGCCCCAATTTCGTGGCCCTCCATTGTTAGTGAAAAAGAAAAGCTCAAAAAAATTCAAACAACCATAACTTGAGTTCTAGGCCACCCAATTGATTGATTCTAAAGGCAAACTTGTGTAAAATCTGGAGAGAAACACATTGCTAGCCTTATTTTCAAGTAGGGACCATTGTGTGAGAAGAACATGGCATTAAAAAGCCACGAAATTTCGAGGTGTTCTTGAGTGTTTATGGTTGTTTGGCTAGGACGAATGCTTGAATATCATTCCTATGGAGCCTGCGAGTACGAGTTTTGTTGATGATTTGAAAATGGGTATAAAATTTGAATATGTGTGAGTTGTTTGTGGTAGTTGGAGGCATGTAATGATAGTGTCTCTTTGGAATTTATTGCTTAGAATGATGTCTTGTGTAAAGAAATTCAATAAAATTTTAAGGCATTTTGAATTGTTTAACTTAGAAAAAAATTCATGGATGAACATAGTTTCGTGAAAATAAGTTGTTGGAAAATTGTGTAATTGATTTGTTGGTGATTTGAATCATTGATAATTGGATTGTATGAGAGTGTAATGCATGTGGATTGAGAGAAAAATTCCTTGGTTTCTATAGGGTATATGTTCAGCCATATAGGGTAGTTTTGAAGGTAACTATGCAATTTGGCATTTGGATTGATAAGTTGATGTTGTAGGTGTTTGAATGAACTTGTGTGGACCTAAGAATGAGCCTTGAACCTTGAAAAGGCAAGAAAAAACTCTAGCCCCATTGGTGAGGTACATTCGGCCATATTGGGCTTTCTTGGAGAAAATTATTCTAAGTTATGGTTTGATACAATTGTGGTATAGATATGGTGTTGTTGTTGAACAAGTAAACCATTGGAAGGATGAAATGAAATTAAAAACGTGGTTATGGGTAATTAGGCCTTAAGGGACAAATTGAGTATTTGTGGGAGGAGAGTTTATTGTCTTGAAATATGGACTTGTTTAACAAGTGGATTGATGATTATGTGTTGTGATCATTTTAGGTTGCCTCCCACGGACGAAATCCTAGAAGATTGAAGATTGGAGCTTGTGGATTGCCTTTGGTCCCTGACCAAAAGAATATTGGAATTTCTTTGTTGAAGAAAGTTATGTGGTAACTTGTGATTGAAGCAACCTAGCTTGGGAGCTTCAAAAAGGTAATCTCTTGGTACTGGGGTTAATCCACGTGTGTGCTTCACCATGACCACTGGGGTAGTGGTTGAAAGTTGTTTGTCCAATAGTGTAATTATAACATGTTCATGCATTTGTGAATGTTGGGTACATAGAGTTGTATCGTATCTCTGGCCAGTAGATAGTTTCCGTAAGGCGTTGGGGACTTCCACTGGAGAGACCTCCGTAGGGAGTTCCAGTTAGCCTGGGGCCGTAGAGATGTTATCAATTGAGGGGCACTCTAAGAATGTCTCGGGAGTTATAGTTGGGGGCACCTTGAATGATGTTCTGGGAACACATTCTTGGACGAGAGCCCACATGTTGTAGGCATGAGGCCAGTGGGCCAGATGGGTGCATGGTTTTGGCTCAGAACATTCATACTCCATCGTATATCTTTCGCTTCTATCCCCCTGTCTCTCTAAATCCCTTTCTATATCCCTCTCTCTCTTTCTATCTCCCTATCTCTCTAAATCCCTCTCTATATCCCTATCTCTCTTTATCTCTATGGTTATGATGCATTATTGTATTTTACATCTGAGTGAGTCATTGAGCGGAGTGATCCTCCAAATACTTTGAATTACTGAGATATATTCATATATCTCACCCCGTGTTTTGGGGCTATATTTCAAGTGGTTGTAGCAGTTCGGGAGTCCTGGGCAAGAGGCCAACGGGTTGAGGATATGTTGAGCATTTGGAGAGCATGACATATTATGCCATTTTGCATTTTGGGTTGTACATGATAGGCTAAACTTAGTGCGTGAACATTTGGGTTGCATGAGTTATGTATACCATGCTTTTGTTGTTCATGTAGTATTATTTTGGCTAAGTCTAACATTGATGTATTTGATTGTAGTTATATTTGGAGAATTGTAATTAAAGCATTATGGATCTTGTGTAATTATAAAGTATGTATGTGATGGAAGGGAAATAGGCCTATTTTAGGTTATGAATTTATATGTCAAATGTTAAGAATGAATGAAATGGAATTATGTGATTGTAATGAGTTTTAAGTTTTAATGAAGTTAAGCAATGGATTGCAAAGATAATGATTTATGGGTTGTAAGAGAACCAAAGTTTGTTGGTCCTTGTGTGCCACCCTTGTCAATTAGGTACAATTTGAGGTTTAAAACACACTTTGGTTAAAGTGGGATAAGTCAAATAAACAAAGGAGATGTCGAAATTTATAATAAATGAGCAGTTTTTAGGCTAACATTGGGAGAGCATATCTCCCTCCAGAGAGGTCCAATTGGGACGTGCTACAGACCATTTTAAAGGTTGAGAGATGTCAGCTATGTTTTGTCAAAATTTGGTACTATTTAGAGTTGTATATCTCCCTGAAGAATGAAAAGAACACAGACTGCCCAAAGAGGTCTAGTGCAGGGGCTGTTCGGGTCTGTGACTTCCACAAATTGTTTCTCCATCAATTGTTACACGAATTAGGCTCATGATATATCAAATTAAAGCTCAAGGTGTCTAGTATTCTGTATAAAAATTTGAGAGCAATTGTTTCAGTAAACTGTCCAGAATCGCAGAAATGGTGGGGGAGGTTTGGTGCTCTGTCTTGGGTTGGCTGACAGTTTTGCTTGTCCAACTTCAAACGGTTATAACCGGAGCTAGAGAACTCCAATTGAGGCGTGTGATACCTTGTTGGAAAGATAATTGAGTCTAATTTAACATACTAAAATATGAGAAATTAATGAGAAGTAGTTTGCGCACAGTGATGAGAAAACAGAAGCATGTTCAGTGTAGAAAAAGTGAAAAAGTGAGTTTTAGGCTAAGTTGATTTATGAGAACCTCTTAGCAACTTAAAATAAATGTTGTATGATAGATAAGCATGTGTAATGTAAATTACGCGTTTAGAATTCAGTTATGATCACAACTTTTGTCATTGCGTTTTATATTATTTTCAAACGCTACGTAATGAAAAGAAAAAAGTTTACTCGCATTTTAAATAAACTGATGTGATTGTAACTGCGCTTAATATCATATCAATGTTAACAATGCCGGTGTACAATGGGCTGTTACATTTTATGGCTCAGAATATTGCTGACTCATCTTAATCCAATCACATTACCAATCAAATAATAACATTAAAGAATAAATGACCAATCAATTAATAATTCAAACAATCACAATTTATCATCTAGTCCTATATAATTATTATTATTACTACTAATTTATAATTTATTATTATTATTAATTTATTGTATTATAAATTACTATTATTTTTCTAGGATATTACACACAGGGTAGGAGGTGTGTCACGGGTTTGGGAAAAAGAGAGAGAGAGATGATTGAGGGAGGAAAGGGAGATCATGGTAGATGAATGAGAATGAGAAAAAGGTGAGAAACTTTGACTTTTTGACTTAGAAAATATCTAAGTGGTCAAATACTCTTTCACCTCTCATGATTTACTCACACTCAACTACTAACTTAGTGTATTTATTTGAGATTTTAGGCTCTTAAAATTTATGAAATGGTTTCCACTAATTTTTTTCAAGTTTCGAGTAATTTTGTTTAACTACATTTTTACCTCAAAACTTTTACTATTTACACTTTTGTCCCAAAAGTGACATAATGCAAATAAATAAAATTTTCATCTAATTAACATCTTTTAATCATTAATTAATTCCTAAATATCCAATTTAATTATTTGAGTTATTATATCCCACCCCTCCCAAATCCTCTCCATTACTCATTTCTTGCCTCTCACATTTTTCCTTCTCGTTTTATCCTTACTCTAGCTTCCTCTCATTTGCCTCGGGATATTATGTTAAATATTAGGACCCGAGAGATATGTGATGAAATCTATATGCGTTAATGGAGACTCTATTATATAACTAAATGAAAAGGAATTACAAAGATACTTACGTGATGTGGGACTTCATCCCTCACACTAAACTACTCTACACTTCTCTATTTACAAGAAAACTATATTCATACAAAAGTATGTAACAAATTAGAGAAGCAATATGATATAGTGGTTAATGTCACATGTACTTTGTATCATGCAGCAGGTTCAAATGCCACATATAGAATTTCCTATTAAGGATTTTGCACAAATTTCCAAAAGCTGATCCAGCCATAAAATTGATCCAACTTCTTGCTGGTTTAGCCGGGTTTATTAGTTTAATACCGGTTTGATTGCATAATCGGTTCAAAAATTGATGCAGGACAGTCGGACCAACCAATCAGGCCTGGGTTCTATAACGTTCGTACGTACCATTTACAAAAATATAGTAACAATATTGTCAGATATAACTTACTGTATTTACAACTGTGCACAACTCACAAGTGCCTCCATATGGGATTTAGATCCCATTAAAACATTTTCTAGTTCATCTAAATAAACCTACTTATGCAGTTGTATGCTGTGTTACAATAATATGCACTCCAATCTATCTAGTCTCATAATAAAATCCAAATAATAAACACTGAACTTTAAAAGAACAATTACTACGGAAGTTAGAGCCAGCATAGCGTTCAAGGTAATTCTGAACTTGCATAAAGCTGTTATAATTAACAGGTTACATCTTGAAAAGATATTACATCATGTTTTGATCCTCTGACTGGACAATAAACCTTTCATAATCTTGTCATGAATTGCCTCAAGGCTGCAATGATAGGAAGAGGATTCTCCAAATGGGCAGCATGCCCACAGTTGGGAACCTCAACCAACTCATGCATGTCATTCCCTTTTTCATGCTGACTCCCCAATCCAGAGCATATTGCATTCATCATTTCTTGTGCAATTTTCTTAAATTTCATATCCTTCTCTCCGTGTATGATAAGAAGCGGTACTCTGCAATTCGGCAAATCTTCCCACAACGACCTGCCATGCAGAGAAAAATTCCATGAGTCCTTCTAATGGTGCATTAAATGTTGACTATATCGTTCACATATATACAACGATTCCCATAGAGATCATGAATTACTGATTCATAACTGGCTTTATCACAAAAGCAGGTAAGTTCGATGCATCGGGATTGCCTCTTCCAATGCTTTATTAAAATACGCAGAATTCTCATAGCCACAGATGAACATGTCTACTTTGAAACAGCTTGTATTACATTTATTTATAACAAATATAACGAATACCTTGGACACTAATGAATAACCAAAGCTAAAGATTGAACAATTAGTCAAGCGTAATTAGCTTACGGCTGCCTTCCGATGCTTAATCCAGACAGCATTTGGCCAAGACTCCGCATGTCATTGTGCTGCAAACGACTAGCAATGATTCGATTGAAATGGGGATGGCTCCTTAAGCTATTTGATAAAAGAAAAGGAAAAACTATTGAGACACGTATAGAAGGAATAAGTCGTACAAGTATAATAAGATCAGCAAAAATCATAGCAAAATGTAATGTTAAAAAGAACAAGTCACCTTTTCCACAGCTCTCCTGCATACCAGGAACTGAGAAAAAGTTGTAAACCATGCGCAACAACAGAGTGGGCTCTAGCATCGTCCTTAGCTGCACGAGTTTTTCTTGATAATTTATCTTTTAATCCAGGGCTTCCAGATATTAAGACAGCTCCCTTTGTCTGCATCATAAATGTTCAAATTGTTGATCAGTGGTCAGGTAAATATTAAAACAAAATATTAACATTGAATGTCAAACTATACCTTACTGCTAAATCTCAGTGCCATATACAAAGCAATCCTTGCTCCCATTGAATACCCAACTATTGTAACTTTTGCTGGAGCTATATGATGAATTAGTTTATGTAATATCTCAGCAATTATCTCCAGTGACAAACAGGGTTCCTCACCAGCAGCCATTGCACAATGTAATATCGATTTTCCATGACCAGGAAGGTCAACTGAAATGCATCTTGCTGATCCAGAAAAGGTCTTCATGATAGTTATCCAATCTTCACCAGCTCCAAGAAAACCATGAAGAAATACTAGTACATTATCCTACATTTCCTAAATCTGACTAAATCAGATCCGTATGCAGGAATCCAATTTTACTTTCCGGTATACACAAACAAAGGGAGTATTTTACACATCTATATAATGGATTTAGCTTGAAGAGAAAGTAAAGGAACAAAGTCTGGGTTTAAAATCTAGCCATACTACATTCATTACAGCACCATAGCATCTGTTCACTCAGTATGCATCTTTGGGCTTGCTCATAAAACAAAAGCTTTAGCAATATATGGTAATCTAATAATAGGAATAGAACACCAGAGTTTTCACCCATCCTTATGTGCATTCTCTCAATAAAGCTCGAAAAGAAAAAACTGAAATATTATTATCTTCTTTTAGAGTATATGTACAAAGGGGTACCATATATATAAAGACTAATAGACCTAAAGGAATAAACTCAAATCATAAAAATAAGGAAACACTAATTTGGCTAAAGAAGGAAAAAAATGATTACAAATATTTTATGTAAAGAACCAATTCAACCTAAAAGCTTAAGCTATTGGATGAAGACGACTTTTTCAATGGTTTATACTATTATCTAACCCCCCCCATACGAGAGTCCACTAGGCTTGAAGAGTGGATAATGTATCAATTGAAAGAAATATTTGTATATAATTGAACTGAGTAATATCTGTACAAGAATTCTCTATTTAAAGAGACTAAAAGACCTAATGGGCTAAGCCCAAACACACTTCTAGAGTATTCTAGCTAATACAAATAATAAGTAAATAATTCTAATATTTACAACACTCCCCCTCAAGCTAAGGAATGGATATTTATTATTCTCAGCTTGCTAGTAAGCTCTTGAAACCTAGCAGTAGGAAGACCCTTAGTTAAGACACCAGCCAATTGACAACCAGAAGGAATATATGGAGTAGTGATCAGTCCACTATCTAGTTTCTCTTTGATGAAGTGGCGATCAATCTCAATATGTTTGGTTCGATCGTGTTGGACTGGATTGTGGGGTATACAGATAGCTCACTTGTTTTCACAGAGTAACTTCATATATCCTTCATATCTTACCTTGGGATCATCGAGAATGATTTTCAGCCACAATAACTCACAGATACTTTAAGCCATGGCCTGAAATTCTGCTTCTGCACTAGATCTAGCAACCACATTTTGCTTTTTTCTTCTCCATGTTATTAGATTTCCACAGAAAAACATACAATAGCCCGAAGTAGACCGTCGGTCAATCACAGATCCAGCATAATCGGCGTCTGTATAAACTTCTAAGGATAGGTTTCCTCCTCTCTGGAGCAATAGTCCTCTGCCTAGTGTGCCTTTCAGGTATTGGAGAATCCTATCCACAGCTCGCAGGTGTTTCTTCCTCGGATCATGCATGAATTGACTAACAATATGATACGAAAGGAAACAGCAGAAACACAATTTTAACTGAATAACAATTCTGTATTGAAACTGTCTCAATAATTCAGATCTCCTTACATATTTCTCCATAGTACTGCTATAGCTCAGAGTTTCTAGAAATGAAAAATAATAGAAAAATGCAATAACTCAGGGACCTTCGAGATGCCCTGCGAATCTCCAGAATGTTCACACTTTCTAATGACCTCCAAGGTGCCACTCTCACACCACTCCCACGCCTACTTAACTCCCCCACCATAACTAACTTGCAACGTGTGTGCCTTGTAACAGAATGGCTGACTCATCACTAACAGCTTTAGTGGATGCATCCCAGTGTTTCCTATTTTTATCTCTCACATACACCTTGCTCATTTGGGCTTTACGTAATTGGGCCTTATCAATACTCCCACCCAAAATAAGCACCTTGTCCTCAAGGTGGAAGTCAGGGAAATGATTCTCAATGGCAATAAAATCCTCCCAAGAGTTTTCGAAATCGGGAAGGTGAGACCATTTAATGAGAATCTGAATTTGGCCTTTTGAACCACGACGCCAATCCAGAACAGTTTCAGGTGTAACCCGCAATTCCCAATCCTTGGACAAAAGTTCTGGCAGAGGCTGAACAGAATCCACAGTAGGCTGTGCTTTTTTAAGCAATGACACATGAAAAACAAGGTGAATTTTACACCCCGGAGGCAACGATAAACGATAAGCAACCTCACCAATTTTTTTCCACAACCAAAAAAGGGCCATAGAAACGGGGACATAATTTCTCATTGACCCGAGAAGCCAAAGTCTTTAAACGATAAGGCTGAATCCTCAAATAAACCATATCCCCAACCATAAAACTAACATCACGTCTGTGTTGGTCAGCTTGGGTCTTCATGCGGTTTTGAGCTTTGATCAAATTCAACTTAAGCTCTTCTAGAATTGCTTCACGTTCAGCTAACAAGGTAGCCACAGAAGGAAAATTGTTTCCCACTCTCAACAATTGAGGAGGATCTACACCACAAAGAGCCTTAAATGGTGTCATGCCGGTAGACTCTTTATGTGTGGTGTTATACCAAAATTCAGCCCAATGCAACCACTTAGGCCACTCCTTTGGCTTCGGGCTACAGAAACAGCGTAGGTAGGTTTCAAGTACCCTGTTAACAACCTCTGTCTGCCCATTCGATTGTGGATGATATGCCGTACTGTAATGCAGTTTGGTGCCTGAAAACTTAAAAATTTCAGACCAAAAATTGCTCAAAAAGACCCTATCACGATCAGAAACCACCACCAAGGGAAACCCATGCAAACGAACAATCTCTTTCACAAAAATAGATGCGACATCCTTTGCTGAATACGGATGAGACAATGCCAAAAAATGAGCATATTTTGTAAGGCGGTCCACAACCACAAATATAGTGTCAACACCAAATGTCTTAGGTAAACCACCAATAAAATCCATAGAAACTTCAGACCATACCTGCACTGGAATAGGCAACGGTTGTAATAAACCTGCAGGAGATAAATTTTGCACCTTGCTCTGTTGACAAATCGAACATGCCATGACATAATCTTGTATAGTCTTTCGCATCCCCTCCCAATAAACTGCGCCAACAATGCGCTTATAAGTTCTGGAAAATCCGGAATGTCCCCCAAAATTAGAATCATGGAATTCGTGTAAGATTGAAGGGATAAACTTCGAAGTTCTGGACAACACCAATTTATCTCTGTAAAACAGCCTACCACCCAGCAATTTGAACCCAACATGTGCTTCTGAGTTAAGTAAGAGATCCTGCACAATTACCCACAAATTAGGATCTTTCTGAATCTCTGTTGCTACCTCCTCCAACTGTGGAAGCTGAACCAGTGATATCGCTGCACATTGCATATTGCGAGAAAGAGCGTCAGCTACAACATTTGCTTTTCCGGGTTGATATTGAATTTCAAAATCATACCCCAATAATTTTGACATCCATCGCTGTTGTTCCTCCCCTAACACCCTCTGTTCTAGCAAAAAACGGAGGCTCTTTTGGTCTGTTTTCACAATAAAATGTCTCCCCATTAAATAAGGACGCCATTTCTGTATAGCAAACACAATTGCCATCAATTCTTTTTCATAAACTGACTTTCCTTGTGCCCTTTTCGAAAATCCTTGACTGATATAAGCCAATGGTTGATTATCCTGCATAAGAACAGCTCCAATACCCTTGCCCGAAGCATCAGTGACGACTTCGAAGGGCTTAGAGAAATCAGGTAAGGCTAAAACAGGAACACTACTCATTGCTGCCTTCAACAACTGAAAAGCCTCTTCTGCAGATGGACCCCATTGAAAATTATCCTTTTTTAATAAATCAGTAAGAGGCTGAGCTATTTTTCCATAGTCCCTCACGAATTTTGTCTAGAACCACCAACTTACTAAACCACTTAGAACCACCAACTTCATCTAGTAACTCCTCTACTAGTGGTATTGGAAACTTGTCCGGTATGGTTAATTTGTTCAGAGCCCTATAATCCACACAAACTCTCCAACTTCAATCTTTTTTTTTTATTAAAATAGCAGGGCTTGAATATGGGCTAATGCTAGGTCTGATAAACCCATCACTCAACAACTCAGTAACCAATTTTTCTATCTCATTCTTCTGATAGTAAGGATACCTGTACGGGCGGCTGTGTGGCACCTGGCTCCCTGGTTTAAGGTTGATAGCATGGTCCCGGATTCGCTGTGGAGGAAATTCCTTCGTTTCTGCTAACACATCAGCAAATTCTTTAATCAATTTCTCCAACTCCTCCCAAACGTGTTGAGCTGCTCCTTCAATCTCAGCCTTAGCCGTAGTCACTATCTCTCTTTCGACATAATAACCTTGGCCATCCATCAACGCCTCCTTGGACATTGCTTTGAATGAAGAAATGGTTCTGGACAACCCAGAATCCTCCACCAGAAAAGCTTCCTTGCCTTGCTTGCCATATCGTAGCGTCATCTCCCGGAAATTAGCTTGAATTTCCCCCAATTCCTGCAACCACTCTAAACCAAGCACAATATCTGCACCACCTAACTCAAATAAGTACAAATCCTGGATTATTTCTTGATTCTGAACCTCAATTTTCACCTGCCTGCATACCCCCTTACATTCAACCTTATGTCCGTCTCCAACTACAACCTTATACAACGGAGTTTGTTCTACAGACAAACCCAATTTCTGTGCCAACTCAGCCTTCACAAAGTTGCAAGAAGCCCCACAGTCGATTAATACCACCACCCTTTCTCCTTTTACTACTCCCCATACCTTCATGGAATGATTCGAAGTTAGACCCATCATACTATGCAAGGACAGCTGCATGGCAAGATCTTCGTCATTATGATCTTGTTCAATCACTGCCACAGCTTTTGCTTCAACAACTTCTCTTCCATCCTCATCGTCTTCATCAATAACAAGAAGGTGCAGTTGTTTACCTGCGCATCTGTGTTCAAAGTTCCATTTCTCGTCACAATGGAAACACAACCCCTTTCGCCGTCGTTCTTGCTTCTCAGCCTGCGAATATCGACGAAAATTACTCCCCTGACTTTCCTCCCTTCGATTCGTCACTGCACTCGTTTGGGCAGCTGTCGCGGTTCCCTGATTTAGGGTATTCGATTTGGGCATTTCAGAATTGTTGAGCTTAACCATACCCGAAGTGTTATTTACACTAGAGGTAATCCGACCCGACCCAAAACGCTGAATTCCTCCACTTATCCTGTTGGGCCCGTAATTATTTTTAGGCCCAAAATAACCAACTCCTTCTTCAGTCAATTTTTTGTGCAAGCTTCATCATCATTGACAAACGCAAACCAGGATTCATTAACACTTCTTCTCTGATACTCGACTTCAGCCCACTCAACCAAGCTCCCTTCACCTGAAAATATCTTTCCACCTTACTCAACCACATATAAGCGTTTTCCCCTGAGAAAATGGGGATGTCCAACTTCCTGACCTTTGAATCACCGTAATCTGTTCCCCTATGGCTCCCATGAGAACCCTCAGAACCGTTCCTTCTCCTTTCTCCGTTTCCATGGTTTCGATCATGGCTGACTCATCACTAACAGCTTTAGTGGATGCATCCCAGCGTTTCCTATTTTTATCTCTCACATACACCTTGCTCATTTGGGCTTTACGTAATTGGGCCTTATCACAATACTAACTGCATAAGCTAGATCAGGTTTAGTATGAGCTAGATATATCAATTTTCTCACTATTCGTTGATACTGTCCTTTGTCAACTGGAGGTCTCCCATTTTCACTACCTAGTCTGTGATTATGCTCAATCGGAGTACTGGAGGGTTTACACCTGAGTTTTCCTACTTCTTTAAGGAGGTCAAGAACATACTTCCGTTGACAAATAAAAATACCTTGTTTAGAATGAGCAACTTCTATCCCAAGAAAATATCTCAGGTTTCCAAGATCTTTAACTTCAAATTCAGCATTAAGTCTTTTTTCCAGATCATTTTTCTCACATATATCATCCTCTGTTATAATCATATCATCAACATAAACTAGAAGGATAGTGGTCTTACTTTCTTGAGAATGTTTAAAGAAGAGTGTATGATCTCCTTGACTTTGCTTGTATCCCAATGAAAGCATAACTTTGGTAAATCTTCCAAACCAAGCACGCGGGGATTGCTTCAAGCCATACAACGCCTTCTTCAATCTGCAAACTTTATTATCTCCATCTGTAGAGTTGAATCCTAGTGGGATCTCCATGTAAACCTCTTCTTCTAATTCCCCATTGAGGAAGACATTTTTCACATCAAATTGTTTCAAGTCCCAATTAAAATGAGTAGCAAGAGACAATAAAACTCGTCCATTTTGGCCACTGGAGCAAATGTTTCTTCGTAATCAATACCATAGGTCTGTGTGTACCCCTTGGCTACCAGTCGAGCTTTATACCTCTCAAGAGCCCCATCAGAATTATACTTCGGAGTATACACCCATCTGCACCCTACTGCCCTTTTTCCATTTGGCCTGTCAACAGCTTCCCATGTATTATTCTTCTCCAACGCATTCATCCCGTCATGCATGGCTTGAACCCAATTATCATCCTTTAACGCTTCATGTACTGATTTCGGGATTGAAATGGAGTCAAGTGTTGTAATAAAACTTCTATGCTGCATAGAGAGATTCTTAGAGGAGACAAAATGAGAAATAGGGTGTTGGGTACAAGACCTTTTCCCTTTCCTCACAACAATGGGTAAATCACCAGAATTAATATCTGGCTCAGGAATAAAAGAAGTAGTGTATTCAGTCCTTACCGGCGGTTCAGGCGATTGCAGTTGCTGATGGAGCAGTGTGAGTTGTTTCTTCCTTTGATACACTAGTTCGGGTGTCCCAGCTTTGCGTACTCTTTGTTGATCAATAGGAGGCATGTCACATGAGGAATAAGAAGAATTTTCAGTCTCAGCGACGAAGTCTTCCTTCTCAACTTGGGTAAGAGATGTAGGTAACAGGAAGGGAGACTCAGACTCAATGAAAATGGATGAAGCTTCTATACTGTTCTCCCCCTGAAGCTGAGGGGTTGTAAAGTAGGACTCAGATTCATGAAAGCTAACATCCATAAAGACAAAGAATTTATGACTTGGAAGATGGTAACATTTGTATCCTTTCTTGTTGGTGGATGGACCCATGAACTCAACGCCTTAAGGTTTTGAGTTGAGACAAGGTGTCGGATCCACTTGCTACGGTTGGTGTAGCTTAGCCCATTGGTGGTGGTCCCCCGCCACGAGCTTCCCCTGGACCCGCTTGTCAGTGGTATCAGAACATCGATGTCACGGGTTTGATCCTCACCGCCCCCACTTTCTCTTATAGAATTTTCTTAGCATAGGTAGGTGGGCCTGTGTATTATTCACCCTTCATGCCCAATGGGCTCTCGTGTAAGGGGCGTGTTAGAGATGTATAAAACCATTAATGTAGCTTCACCTACCAGCTTAAGCTTTTGGGTTGAATTGGTTCTTTACAGGGTATCAGAGCCTCGGTATCCCGGGTTGGATCCTTGCTGCCTCCCATTTTCTTTGTAGAATTTCTTAGCACAGGTAGGCTGGGCATCCACCTTTCAAGCCCAATGGGCTCTCTTGTGAGAGAGCATGTTAGAGTATAATATAAACTGTTGAGATATATAAAACCATTAATATAGCCTCACCCAATAACTTAAGCTTTTGGGTTGAATTGGTTCTTTACATGGTATCAGAACCTCGTGTCCTGGGTTCGATCCTCGCGGCCCCCCACTTTTTTTCAAGTGGAATTTCTTTGTTAGCACAGGTAGGTGGGCCTGTGCATTGTCCACCCTTCAAGCCCAGTGGGCTCTCGTGTGAAGGGGCGTGTTGAGATATATAAAACCATTAATATAGCCTCACCCAATAGCTTAAGCTTTTGGGTTGAATTGGTTCTTTACATAAACCATTAAAGAGGCCCTCACCTAACAGCTTAAACTTTTAGGTTGAATTAGTTCTTTACATGGTATCAGAACTTCAGTGTCACGGGTTCGATCCTCACCTCCCCCCACTTTCTCTTGTGGAATTTCTTAGTACAGGTAGGTGGGCTTGTGCATTGTCCACCCTTAATGCCCTGTGGGCTTCGTGTGAGAAAGCGTGTTAGAGTATAATATAAACCATTAAAAAGACCCTCACCCAAGAATTGGTTCTTTACATGGTGTCAGAGCCTAAAGTGTCACAGGTTCGATTCTCACCGCCTCCACTTTCTCTTGTGGAATTTCTTAGCACAGGTAGGTGGACCTGTGCATTATCCATCCTTCATGCCCAGTGGGCTCTCGTGTGAGGGGACATATTAGAGAAGTATATAAACCATTGATAGGCCTTCACTTAACAGCTTAAGTTTTTGAGTTGAATTGGTTCTTTACACTCTATATTTACAACAATAACTATATGATCTTGAAACAAATTAGGAATATAAAGACATAAGCCATGATAATTTCTGGTTGACTTTATTCTCTTATTTATTATGTTGTATACACTGTAAGAAAATAATATAGATATTTATGTTACCATCCTAAAATTTTGCATCTAAATTAATAAGTGAATATTAAAGGATATTGAACCAAAATATAGATCAGTAATCAAAACAAATTTGTTAAATTTTAAGCAATAATTAAAACTATTATTAATATGTATGGACACTTCTTTACTCACCGTTGATTTTAGGCCAGTCTCGTGAACTTCAAAAGAACAAGACAAATTGGTAAGTTCTACTTTCAATTGGTACCGACGAACTTGCTGCTCAGTAGTGATATTACAGATGACATTCTGGTTGACTTGAAAATCATGTAGCAACTGACTAGCATTTGCCACAGATGCTTCAACAAAACCACTATGTGGATTACGACCAATCAAAAGAGGATAAGGTGTCACATCTTCCTTAAGCCAACGATAGGTCCCTAGGCCATGAGCTACAGACGGTGCTGCCTTATCATCTAACACTTTGAATGTACCTAAACTCAGTATTTCAAGATAACTAGAAAACTGAGTATATGCAGAGAGACTCAGACTGCTTTCAAATGCAGCACTGACAACAGCCATCTTCCCCAACTGGTGTGCCCATTGTGCAATTAATGCGGCATTCTCAAATCCACCAACAACACTTGGCTTGATAACCTAACAGTAGATATAAAATTCTGAATAAGATAAAGAATTAGTATTTTATATAGACAAGGCAATCAGCTTATTTTTTTTGAATTTTGAATATTGTGCAGTTTTGATAGGGAATCATAAAAGATGATTCTGTTTCATTTAATCAAGAGATTGATCCAATCAGAGTCAGAATGCTGGAACATAGCCATAAAAAGCAAACGTGTTCACATCTCCACATCAGCCAGTATAATATCAGCACTTAATGCAGTTCCACTAGAGCTCAATAACAATTTATTTATTTTTTCTAGTTTGTGCTCTTCCTATAGCATGCATAAAAAGGTACAGAATACCGATACTGCAAAAGAACTATTTGGATAATTTATCCTATGAATCTACAGTCTTGCTGACTCCGGAATAAATAGCCCTAAGAGTAGGCAAATATTGTCTCAATTTTACAGAAAAACAAAATTGCAGTTTAATAATCTAACAGTTCAGTTTTCATTTCTTAAGGAAATAAACATAATACCAGTACCCAAATGAATTAAGGCTACCCTGCTACTTAATATCTTAACGTATTGAAAAGAAGTTTCTGTATATTGATCTTGAATAATTTACATGAGTGAGTATTTATACAAGAAAGAATCGCTAAGAATGACTAAGCGATGACTAATCAATCCTAATCACAATCAATCCTAATCAATCATAATCAATCCTAATTAATAGGAAATAAAAACGGAAACATGTTTGAATTCTGATTTTCTACACTCCCCCTCAAGTTGGGAGGTAAATATTGATCATTCCCAACTTGTCAATCAAGTCTTCGAATGCTGGACGGTGTAGGTCCTTGGTAAGGATATATGCCGTTTGCTCTTTAGTTGGAACATATATCAAACGCACACTTCCATCATCTAATTTTTCTTTGATGAAGTGACGATCAACTTCCACGTGCTTTATTCGATCATGATGCACAGGATTTTGAGCAATGCTAACAGCTGCCTTGTTGTCACAATATAGTTTTATTGGTAGGGAATATGAAATCTTCATCTTGAAGAAGTCTTCTCAACCAGATTCCTTCACAAACTCCATGAGCTAAAGCTCGAAATTCTGCTTCAGCACTACTTCTTGCAACCACTGTTTGCTTTTTGCTTCTCCAAGTAACAAGATTTCCCCACACATAGGTGCAATAGCCTGAGGTAGATCTCCTGTCTACTGATGAGCCTGCCCAATCTGCATCAGTGTAGATTTCAATTGTTCTTTTATACCCCTTTTTAAAGAATAATCCTCTTCCTGGAGTATTCTTGAGGTATCTAAGCACCCTATAGACTGCACTAAGATGCTTCTCCTTGGGTGAGTGCATGAATTGACTAATCATACTCACCGCAAAGGCAATGTCAGGACGCGTATGAGATAAGTAGATTAGTTTACCAACCAATCGCTGATATTGTTTTTTATCCACCTCATTCCCATCTTCAATACCTAACTTGGTATTAGGTTCCACAGGTGTCTCAGCAGGTTTACACCCTAACATTCCTGTTTCCAACAAAAGATCTAGAACATATTTCTTTGGTGTTAGAGTGATGCCTGTTTTGCTCCTAGCAACTTCCATACCAAGGAAATATTTGAGAGTGCCAAGGTCTTTGAGTTCAAATTGAGCTGCTAGAAATTTCTTCAAGGTGTTCAATTCCTCAATATCATCACCTGCAAGAATTATATCATCTACATATACAATAAGAATAGCAATTTTACCATCCTTAGAGTATTTGTGGAAGAGAGTATGATCAGTCTGTGCTTGAATGAAGCCTCTTCTTTTGACTGCTTGTGTGAATGTGTCGAACCATTCTCTGGGAGACTGTTTCAATCCATATAGAGACTTTTTTAGTTTACACACTGATCCATTTCCCTTTTCAAAACCAGGTGGAGGATCCATATAGACTTCTTCATGTAAGTCACCATTTAGGAATGCATTCTTCACATCTAACTGTTGCAGAGGCCAATCTAGATTGGCAGCAAGAGATAAGAGAACTGGGATGGTATTGACTTTAGCAACCGGAGCAAAAGTCTCATGATAATCTATCCCATGAGTCTAAGTGAAACCCTTTGCAACCAATCTTACCTTGTATCTGTTGATACTATTATCCGCATTGAATTTTATTGTAAACACCCATTTGCATCCTACTGCCTGTTTTCCTTTGGGTAGGGTCACTATCTCCCAAGTTCCATTTCTTTCTAAAGCATTCATTTCTTCAAAGACAGCATCCCTCCATTTTTGATCATTGAGAGCCTCATGTATATTTCTCGGTATCTTTGTACTATCCAACATAGTATTGAAAGCACGAAACCCTGGGAACAACTTTCCATATGAAATATGATTAGAAATAGGATGAGTAGTACAAGATCGAGTACCTTTTCTGAGAGCAATGGGCAAGTGTAGATCATTTTCACCATGATACTCAAGTATTGGGGTGCTGGAACTAGAACATGGTTCAGAATCCTGGCAGTGTAGAGGCTTTGGGTTATTCACACTTTGAGGAGGCTTTCGCCTGCTATAAACTTGTCCCCATTTTGAGGAGGCTCCTGATGGTGAGGATTCTGTAGCTCCCCCTGTTTCCAAAAGTAGAGGTAATACCGTGGCATCAGTAGGTTCCTATGACTGATCTTCATCTACTCCTATAGACTCCCCCTGAAGAGAAGTCGAGGGGAAGAAAGGGTCATTCTCAGAAAAAGTGACATCCATAGAGACAAAGGACTTACGAAGAGAGGGTGAATAACACTTATAGCCACGTTGAGTAGGAGAATAACCAATAAAGACACACTAAAGAGACTTAGGATCAAGCTTAGACCGTTGATGGGAGGGAATATGGACAAATACAACGCAACCAAATAACTTGAGAGGTAAGGAGGAGACACCTCGGAAGGAAGGGAAGATACGAACAAGACTAGAAAGAGGAGACTGAAATTTCAGAATGCGAGATGGCATTCGATTTATCAGATACGAGGCAGTGAGAACTGCCTCTCCCCAAAGATATTTAGGAACACTCGTGGTAAACATAAGAGCCCGAGCAACTTCAAGGAGATGTTGCTTTTTTCTTTCTGCAACTCCGTTTTGTTGGGGTGTGTCAGGACATGAGCTTTGGTGAAGGATGCCATGTTGGGAAAGATATTCTTCAAGAATAGAGTTAAAATACTCTTTGCCATTATCTGTACGAAGAATTTGTATAACAACTTGGAATTGGGTTTGAACCATGGCATGAAATTCTTTAAACACGGATACAGCATCGGACTTATCCTTTAGAAGATACACCCAACAGACTCGAGAATGATCATCAATGAAGGTAATGAACCATCGAGTACCTGAAATATTTTTAACACGGGCTGGACCCCATATGTCACTATGAATTAAGGAAAATGGGGAAGAGTCATGGTGAACTTTTGAAGGATAATGAGCACGAGTATGCTTAGCAAGTTGACAAATATCACAAGAAAACAAACTTGGACTTTTATTAATAAATAAGTTTGGCAACAACTTCTGAAGAAAAATAAAATTTGGATGGCCTAGCCTACGATGCCACAGCATAACATCATTACATGAATCCAAAGGAAACATAGAGTTTTTTTCTACGAAAACAGCTTCATGAGTCACATCCTCCTCAAAGTAGTAAAGTCCACCATCCTCTCTAGCACTGCCAATCATCCTCTCCGAGTCCTGTTCCTGAAAAACACAACCATGTGGAAAGAATTTAGCAAAGCAATGCAACTGAGAGGTTAGCTTGCTAATGGAAATGAGATTACAAGTCAGAGAAGGAACATAAAGAACTGATGTCAAAGTAATCAGCTCAGAAAGTTTAATGGTTCCGTGTCCTGCAATCTGGGAAAAACTGCCATCGGCGATCTTGACCCGAGAAGATTTAGAATATGGAGTGTATGAACAAAACAAGCCAAGATTACCTGTCATATGATCAGAGGCTCCAAAATCAAGGATCCAATGATTTTGACTATCAACATGGAAAGCTGTACCTTGCTGGACCACATGACTAGTGGCCTTAGGAGGTTGAGTCAAAAGTCTCTGAAGTTGTTCAAACTGAGTCTTGCTAAGAAAGACACCATCAGAGGATTCATGAGGCTCATCAACCTTGTCATCAGTAGAGACCTGATATGCACGACCTTTATTTTGTCCTTTGGGCTTCCAATTTGCAGGTTTCCCGTGGATTCCCAACATTTCTCACGGGTATGACCAATTTTATTGCAGTGGGTGCACCATGGACGACCATCCCGTTTTGATTCTCCGGAGGAACGGTCAATGGTACGGTTGGCAGCTAATGCAGACATATCATCAGACTTATCAAGAGACTCCTTTTCTCCCAGCATAACTCTCCGTCTACTGGCTTCTCTACGAACTTCAGCAAAGGCGTCAGCAAGTGAAGGTAACGGTCGCTGCCCCAATATTCGACCACGAACCTCATCAAGATCTCGGTTGAGTCCGGCAAGGAAATCATGCAGTCTTTCCTTCTCCAAGTGTTTTTTAAATTGGGTATTAGCTTCCAATCCCTTAAGATCAGATGCATAATAAAGATCCAATTCCTGCCATAAATTCGTTAGTGCAGTAAAATATTCAGTAACAGTCATACCCCTTTGACGAAAGTCTCTCAACTTATTTCTCAGTTCAAAAACTTGAGAGGTATTCTCCAGATCGGAGTAATTTTGTTGAACAACATCCCAAATTTCCTTGGCAGTATCAAAGAACAGATAGGTTTGGCCAATCTGTGGTTCCATGGAATTAGTCAGCCAAGCCATGACCAAGGAATTATTAATCTCCCAATCGTCATAATCAGGAGAATTCTCAGTAGGTTTCTTAATTTTCCCCTCAAGATAGCCCATCTTACCCTTTGCCCGGATGACCAACTTAACTGATTGAAACCATTGCAGAAAATTCTTACCGTTCAACCGGTGATTGGTGATCTGCAAACCTAAGTTGTCTCCAGAGGACTGAGAATTTGGGGCAGATGAGGAGGCGGAAGAGTGTTTTGAGGAAGCCATGAATAGAAAGAGAAGGGTTGACTGTTGATGAAAAAATCAAGTTTTGTAAATTTTTGATCTGACCTCTGGAACAGGAAGGGGAGAAGCCGGCGAGAAGGTCTGTGCAAGTCGCGGCGGAAAAAGACATTGGGAAGGCGGCGCGTGGAGCTCACGCGCCTGAGACTGGCCGCGCGTGTGACGGCGCGTGCGGCGGTTGACGGCGATGGGTCCAGCGGCGGTCGACTCGTTGGATCCTTCTGAGTCGAATGGTCACCTCACTTTCTTGATCGGAGGTCAGTAGACTAGGTTTCTGTGTTTGACAGATTCAAGGAGGTGTTTAGAAGGTGTTTGACGGTGATGGAAGTGTTTGGATGGTTATTTCAGATTTGAATTAGGGTAGGAACGAACCCGCTCTTGATACCATATTGAAAAGAAGTTTCTGTATATTGATCTTGAATAATTTACATGAGTGAGTATTTATACAAGAAAGAATCGCTAAGAATGACTAAGTGATGACTAATCAATCCTAATCACAATCAATCCTAATCAATCATAATCAATCCTAATTAATAGGAAATAAAAACGGAAACATGTTTGAATTCTGATTTTCTACATAACGAAATTCTTATTTACTTACAACAGCAACTATTCCAGGATGAGTAAACTTCACTAGCTTTTCCATGGGATTTTCTTGAATTTTATCTATGGTTTCATCCAGGGCAACAGGTAAGCCACTTTCTTGACAAAACATGAGAATATCATCTTCATCCTGAACAGGTTCCTGCAAAGGGGACATTTTAATCAAGTTATTAATGCATCACAAACATGCCAACAAATTAATTAGTAGAGAGTATAAAGTAAACAGAATTGTAAATCTAAGAATTATGAAAACTGTAAAATTTTCTTAGTTAACCTCAATATACTGCAGGTTACAATCCTTAATCAAAGAGCTGAATTCCATAGCTTCTTCATAAGTCCAATTTCGATTTGCATCTGCACGGATGATAATCTGGCAACCAACTTTTTTTCTCACTTCTTGAATTATTGCTGCATCCTGCATTGGATTACCCCCACGTGCTACCTGTTTAGCATCGTAACCTATTAACCTTCTAGCTTCTCTAACAGTTGTTATATATAAAATGCAGCAAAAAGCTGAAGTATATCCAGCAGAAACTAAACAATGGAGGACTATCTCACCTTCAGCTTAATTGCACAAAATCCTTCCTCAACTAGAGTGGCAGCAACATTAGCTACTTCAGTTGGAGAACCATTTGAATCAATCAATGCACAAATTGGAACTGCTAATGACCTTTCACATTTGTCGTTCTTATTTGTTGGGGGATGGAGTATGCTCAACAAGTTGGAGCCTTTTGCATCAGCTATGGCATTGAGGATAGCCATTTCCAAACCACATCTGACACTAGGAAAAATAGAAGATGGCTGCATTACAGACAATAACTACATCAACAATATGTTAATTCTGTTTGTAACAATTTGATGTTATTCCCAATGAAGCAGTTTCCTTAATGTTTAAGCTATAAGGTCACGGAGCACATTAAGGAAAGTTTTCAATTCATATCTGTATTCTATAAACACACCCCTCATACAAGATCCCTTCGTTAGAAAATAACTTTATACCATGTCAAGGAACCCATCAACTAAATGTTAATGCTGTTATGTCCAGATCCATAAGTAGTTTTCTTATTTATATAATATCGCTAGCCCTTGTCAAAAAAGTGCAGATTAGACAGCTTACCAAGATGCCCAATTCATTCCATATCCAATATGAAAATGAGCCCTTCAATAGTGACAGGAAGCAACTAAAATCAACCTGTTCCATGACATGAGTAAGAAACCTAAGTTGATACTCTGCATCTACCAGACTTTCCTTGTGGATCTCGAGAGGTGCAATCTGCTTGATGCCAATAATATATGAACAGGTTGGTTTTAGAGAGTTAAGAGAATTTACAGGAAAATGAAAAGGGAATTGGAGAACAAAATAAAAAGTTACAAAAAAAAGGTTCTTAACATAAATTGACAAGGGCTAAAAAATTACAATTGAGGACCCACTAACCAGTCATTCGGTTAATTCAGTTCATGAGTGGATAACAATTAATCACTATTGAACGGAGTGAACAATGTGAGTGGTTAAATGGAACTTTTGTGTAAATCTTTTTCTATACTCTCCTCCGATCATTGTGAGTAAGTCTCCCAAAAAATTGCTGTCAGCGGTAAATAAAAAATTAACTTATTCACAGCGAAATTGAAGTAAATTATTTGTGTTCTTTTCAACAGCTTAAAAACCTAGTAGAAAGATGTAGAAGTCAAATGGCTAGGTCATCATCATTCTTTAGTTTGTTTAGCAACAATTAAATGTTTTGTTCCTCTTCTTGTCTCTAATATTCTTCACAACCCACATGCATGTAAGACATTGCGATGGTTGTAAAATGTAACACTTCCCCACAACTATTTCTCTATGTACGTATGTAGAAAACCAGGATTAGAATCTTTTCGCTTTTATTTCTATTAATTAGTGAATGATTTTTTCCTTTAATAGGAATTTGAATTTTGAATTTGCTTCTATAAGACAGGGCTGATGACTCATTGCTGAGTCATTCTTATCCATTCCCCCCCCCCCTCATTTACTCTTGTTAAATACCTCTATCAGTGTAAATCAAATTAATCAATACTAGAAAAAACTTTGTTTTACATCTTTCAATATGGTATCAAGAGTCGATTCGTTCCTCCCCTAGATCAACCATTCTCAAGGCTATGAACAATGTTCCTGTACCATAAAACACTATCCAACCACTTCCTAAAAAACCTAGGTCAACTCTAAAAATCAAAAGCCCTTCATGTTTTTTTAAAGTTCTGTACCAGCCACACACGTCCGCAAACACTGTTCATCGCCGGAAGTATTGTTCACGCCGGAGTTACTGTCCATTGAATCTCATACAATTTGTTCTCAAGAAATTTAGAAATTCCTTTCGAAAACCCCATTTTTCTTCACCAAAAAAAAGAAAAAAAAAAACCCAAGCTTGTTCCTGTTTTTTGCCGGAATCAAATTCTGAGCAGAACCCAACCGGTCACCGTTGTTGGAAAAAAAATTCGGCAACTTTTCTGTTTATTTTTATCTAGCGACTTTTCTGGGTAAACTTTGTCTTCTCTCATGGCTTCACCTACCCCTTCTGTTGCGCCTAATACGCCGTCATCTAAAAAAGTATGGCATTGCAAATCACCAGTTTTGTGGCCCAACAAGGTACAGTGTTCCATGTTGACAATAATAGTAGTTGGATTCTTGATTCAGGAGCTTTTGATCATATGACAGGTAATGCAACCTCGTTTTGTTCTTATACTCCTTATTATCAACAGTAGCCGATGACAGCTTCTCTCTGATTGCTAGAAAGGGGTCCATTAAAATTTCTGAACACATTACTTTGAACTCAGTCCTTCATGTTCCCTCTCTTACTTGTAACCTCATCTCTATCAGCAAACTTGCCTCTGAATTACATTGTGTTGCCAAGTTTTCTTTCCATCCTTGTGTTTTTCAGGAGCAAGACTCGGGGCTGATGATTGGCAGTGCTAGAGAGGAAGAAAGGCTCTATTATTTTAAAAAGGATCCTTGTGAAGAGAAAATTTTTGTGAACCACTCGGTATGTTTGTCTGATGATTGTAATGATGTTTTGTCGTGGCATCGTCGGTTAGGATATCCAAATTCTATTTATCTTCAGAAGTTGTTCCCAAACTTATTGATTAATAAAAATCCCAGTTCTTTTTCTTGTGATATTTGTCAATTAAACATTCTCGCGTTTCTTATCCTCCTAGAGTCCATCAAGATTCTACTTCATTTACCTTGATTCAAAATGATATATGGGGTCCATCCTGTGAAAAAAATATCTCTGGTGCTCGTTGGTTTATAACTTTCATACATGATCACTATAGGGTATTTAGGTATACCTTCTAAAGCATAAGTCTGACGCTGCACCCACTTTTAAAAACTTTCATGCTATGGTTCAAACTCAATTCCAAATACCTATCCAAATTCTTCAAACTGACAATGGTACTGAATATTTTAATTATGTTCTTGGAGACTATCTCACCCAGCATGGTATTCTTCATCAAAATTCTTGTCCTAACACCTCTCAACAAAATGGGGTGGCTAAAAGAAAAAATAGATATCTCCTTGAAGTTTCTTGAGCTCCTATGTTTACCATGCATGTCCCTAAATATCTGTGGGGGGAAGCTGTCTTGGCTGCAGCATACCCATCAATCGGATGCCTTCTCGTGTCCTAAATTTTCAGTCTCCTTTATCTTGTCTTACCCACACCTTTCCTTCTTTCCGGGCTCATTCTTCCCTTCCTCCCATGTTATTTGGTTGTGTGGCTTTTGTACATGTTCCTCCCCATCAAAGGTCCAAGCTCAATCCTAAGTCTATTAAATGTGTCTTCATAGGATATCCTCCTAACCAAAAGGGCTACAAGTGCTACTCACCTTCTCTTCGTAAAGTCTTTGTTTTTATGGATGTCACATTTGATGAGAGAAAATCATTTTTTCCTTCGACTTCTCTTTAGGGGGAGTCTATTGGGGTAGATGAAGATAAGTCTTGGAAACTAAATGATTCTGTTGTTTTTCCTTTGCCGTTAGAGACAGGGGAAGTCTTTGTGCAAAAGATAGGGGTAGTGTTGAGATATATAAAACCATTAATGTAGCCTAACCTAACAACTTAAGCTTTTGGGTTGAATTGGTTCTTTACATGGTATCAGAGCCTCGGTGTACCGGGTTCGATCCTCACCGTCCCGCACTTTCTTTCAAGTGGAATTTCTTTCTTCGCACAGGTAGGTGGGGCCGTGCATTGTCTACCCTTCAAGCCTAGTGGGCTCTCGTGTGAGGGGGCGTGTTGAGATATATAAAACCATTAATGTAGCCTCACCTAACAGTTTAAACTTTGGGTTGAATTGATTCTTTACAGGGAGCTACTGTGCCAGAGAATGGAGATCCTCCTGGTAAATAAGGAAAGTTTTATAGCAGATGAGAATCACCTCAGGAGCCTCTAGACTGCCTGGTGTCTGACTCGAGCCTTAGTTCTAGCAACACTGATACAGCCGACCTAGATGTGCCTATTGCTCTCTGAAAAGGTACTAGATCTTGTACTGCTCATCCTATTTCTCATCATATCACATATGACAAGTTGTCCCCAGGTTTTCGTGCTTTTAACACTATGTTAGACAGTACAAAAATACCAAAAAGCATCTAAGAAGTACTTGATGATCCAAAAAGGAGGAATGAAATCTTTGAAGAAATGGATGTGCTCAACAAAAATGGAACTTGGGAGTCTGTAGCATTACCCAGAGGAAAGAAAACAGTAGCTTGCAAGTGGGTGTTCACAATAAAGTTTAATGCGGATAACAACATCAACAAGTATAAGGCCAAATTGCTTGCTAAGGAATTCACTCAGACTCATGGGATCAATGTTATTAAAATTGCACATAAGATCGTAAAATCGACCGCTCCTACAATTTTTCCCACTCCTGCGATCTGAAACGCATGCAAGATCGTTTCCTTCTCTGATTTATCAAGACCATCGCTTAAGCTCGTAAAATCGGTAGGAGCGTACGATTTCATGATTCAAGGTAAGATACCCAGATTTACAGAAGAGTGAGAGGGACAACCAACAGGGTGAAGATTAAGGATGAAGCATGTGCAAATGTTACTTGGAAACTAGAAGTTGAGTGAAAATAGGGAAAGTGATTTGGGAGTGGTCATCATCTTCGAACAATATCGCCAATTAACACAGAATCAGAAAGGGATGGCGCAAAACAGTTGAAACTTGAATGGTCGTGGCAACAGAAACTGTTGTGACAGAGTTATAGCAATGGTGACCCTAACCTAAATCATAATCAACCATTTCTATTTTTGTAACAGTGGTCGCATCTTCACTTTTTTCTTTCGCTTCACTTCTTCTGCCTTTACCTTTTCTCTTCTGGGCATTACTTACTCTTTGATAAATGTTTTTTGTAAATTCAAAGAAAAAATAAAGAATGCATGTTTTGAATAATAATAAGTGGATGAGAATTTCATGCTTTATTTTCCACTACGTGGATAGCACTATAAGCTCACATGAATGCATTCCCTTCATTCTATCTTCTAATAATTTTGGTATTCAATTCATAAATTCTGATCCTAGGAAACCTTTCACTATGTTAAGATCGAGATGTTACTTAAGATTGGAAGGGGATAAAAAAATTGTTCACGTGATTTTAATATTTTATTTGTATAGATACGATCTTACGATCCGTGTCGATCTTACCGATTTATGATCTTTTTACACCCTTCCGATCTTAGGTAAGATCTCGATCTCAACAACATTGCATGAGATAGGCTATCAAGAGACATTTTCCCCTGTTGTCAAGCTTAACACTATCTGAGTTCTTCTATCACTTGCTGCCAATCTAGATTGGCCCTTACAACAATTAGATGTAAAGAATGGCTTCTTGAATGGGAATCTACATGAAGAAGTTTATATGGATCCACCACCTGGTTTTGAAAAGGGAGACGGTTCAGTATGCAAGTTGAAGAAGTCTCTCTAAGATCTTAAACAATCCCCTATAGAGTGGTTTGAGAAGTTTACTAAAGTTGTTAAGGGAAAAGGATTCCTCCAAGCTCAGACTGATCACACTTTAACTCAAAAGAAATATATTCTAGACCTATTAAAAGAAATAGGAATGCATGGGTGCAGGCCAGCAGAGACTCCAATTGAACCCAAAATTAAATTGGGAATTGAAGATAGGAAAAAAGTTGACAGAGAGCAGTACCAGAGATCGGTGGGGAAGTTAATCTACTTATCTCACATTTGGCCTGATATTGCATTTGCAGTTAGCGTGGTTAGTCAATTCATGCATTCTCCTAAGGAAAAACACCTAAGAGCAGTCGATGATTGTTCTTTAAAAGGGGACACACGAGGATGATTGAAATATATACAGATGCAGATTGGGCTGGCTCTGCATTGGACCGAAGATCCACATCAAGATATTGTACCTATGTCGAGAAGTAAGAAACAAACAGTTGTTGCCCGGAGCAGTGCAGAAATAGAATTTCGGGCACTAACCCATGATATTTGTGAAGGAAATTGGTTAAGAAGACTCCTTGAGAAATTGAAGATCTCTTTTTCTCTACCTGTCAAAGTGTATTATGATAATAAGGCTGATGTCAGTATTGCTCAAAATCCAATTCACCATGACAGAACAAATTATGTGGAAGTTGATCGCCACTTTATCAAAGAAAAATTAGATGATAGAAGTGTGTGTATGATGTATATTCCTACCAAAAAGTAGACTGCGGATATCCTCACTAAGAGCCTACACCAGCAAACCTTTGAAGACCTGATTGGCAAGTTGGGAATGATCAACATTTACCTCCCAACTTGAGGGGGAGTGTACAAAATCAGGATTAGAATCTTTCCGCTTTTATTTCCTATTAATTAGTGATTGATTTTTTCGTTTTAAAGGAATTTGAATTTTGAATTTGTTTCAATAGGATAGGGCTGATGACTCATTACTGAGTCATTCTTATCCTCTCTTTTTTTCTCTCATTTACTCTTGTATAAATACCCCTTATTAGTGTAAATCAAATTAATCAATACTAGAAGAATTTTTGTTTTACAACTTTCAATAACTTATACACCAAAATATGAAAGTAAAATAGAATATCAAAGATGACATAAAATCAAACTGATACCAACCTCACCAAAACCAACACTTCCATCCGCAAGAATTAAAGATAAAATAAATCCTTCTCTATAGAAATTCATACAACTCTCACCAACAGATGCTGATGTTGGTGGACCACTTAGTGCAATTCTGCCACAGAACCATCACGATCCAAGGAAAAAAAAACAAATAGAAAGACATATAATGTCAAAACAACAAAATAAATTAGTAGAGTCCATGGAAATGAGAATCTTTTTTTTTTTTTTTTAGATACAAGATGAGAATCTTTGTATAATGTGAAAACTCACCTATATTTTGAACACTCTATTTTTCGAATTTTGTATAAACAGAACTCATCTTTTGTAGAGCCTTCACCAAAAAGCACTGAGAGGAATCTTATGGTGTCTTGTGCAGTTTGCAGAGCGAATTTTTTCAAAATGCTGAGTCATGATACAAAGGTGTCAGTAAAAAGCTGATAATCTATTAAATCAACAAAATCTTAAATAATCCCCACGTAAATAAACCTGTGAAAATTGGCATTGGCATCAATGGAACTCTCAATTTCAACCATACAATCCATCTGCTCATGTTGACCTACACACAAAGCTTCTTTAAATTCTGCCTTTGTCTTCACATGTAAATGTTTGATGCTGCAAGTACATTGATTTTTTCCTCAGGAAAAGGTAGGATTGCTTGGGCATGGACTACGAATATCAAAATCACTAGGAAAATTGTTCAATTTCAAACAAAATGCCGAGTTTGATGCTTATTAAATGCATTATATAATTAAAGCGTTTCTGATTGATGGATGCTATGCTGAAACCAACTGCAGAAGCAGGTTGATTTTAATTATGTTTATTGAATAACAAGAACACAAGAGGCATATGATGTAATCCGTGCATCTCACTTTCGATCTTATAATTGAATATAAAGAATTGAAACGGAATAATACACGATGTGAGACTTTGTCCCTCACTAAACTACTCTATTTACATCATTCTCAACAATGTTCTCCTCAGTTACCTCAATTAAATGTGATGTAGTAGTCCCACATCAATCACGCATACTATACCACGTAATATTCTCGATAATATATTGTAAATAATTTAAAATATTCAATTATCTTAGATTAGTTGTAATTTTACCGAAGAATTGTGACATGATTGAATGTTTCTAATTGTGTGTGATTAATTAATTAGTGGGAGGATAGCTTTGGGATGGTACCTCCTAAAGTGATGAACACAACTTTTGGGCTTTATGCCTTTGATATTACATGATGTGACAATGATGTTTCCGTTCTTTCCAAAGTGGTATCTGGCAACAGGGTTTCTCGGGGTACTAGTAGCAACTTTGGAAAGAGGTGTGCACACTAGGATTTGATATTTTGATGATGGCCAATTTTGATTATACGTGGCTGGCAACCGGGTTTCCTGGGTCTACCATGGTTCGCTTCCCATTAAATCCACTAAATGAACTTAATAAAGATTATGAATAATATTTGATTCGATGTGAATATATATTGAAGTCGATAATTTGATGTGATTATGATGGGAATATATATGATGAATATTGAAGTTGATATTTGATGTGATTATGATGGGAATATATTATATATATGATGAAGTTGATATTTGATTCAATTATTATGTAATTATATATTTAATTTGATTATTATATTTGAGTTATATAAATTGTGTTTTGATTAGGATTACCAACTTTGTTGACTTTTGTGTTTGTGTTTGTTTGACTGCAATGATCCTTCGGAGGAGCAGACTTTCAGTGAAACAGGTTGCAAAAGTGGGCTGTGAGGATAACTACTAAGAGATATTTAGATAATCTTAAATTTTACGTATAAGACATAGTCTTTGATTTTATTGTGATATTATGAATGTAAAAAGAGCCTTGCACTTGTCCCTATTATAGGTCGACGGTAACATTTCCCCAAATTAGTTTTAGATTAGCTTCCGCAACATTTATTAGATTCAAATAAAATATTAAAATGAGAATTTTGGCAATTTCATTATTTTAAAAATTGTTAGAAATTTGGAGGTGTAACAATAAATAATGGCTAGTTTTAATAATGATTTGCCTCAAGAGGGTAATCAACCAATAGGCCACCATATTTTAATGGAAACGATTATCCTTATTGAAAATCAAGAATGCAAATCTTTTTAGAATCGGTTGATCTTAGGGTTTGGACTAGTGTTGAAGAAGGATATGATTTTCCTACTAATTTGGGTGATGATGGTAATAGGGTTCCTAAAAAGGTAAAAGAATTTAATGATCAAGAACTTAAGGAAACCCGATGGAATGCTAAAGCTAAGAATCTCATAACTAATGCTCTAGGTAGAGATGAGTTGTTGAGATATATAGTCCCACATTGGTTGTATGTACAACTAATGTGGAGTTTATAAGACCTTGGGCACTCCCACCCTCTGAACTAGCTTTTGGGGTGGTGTATCCCAAGGTTTTTTACATGGTATCAGAGCCTCGCCGCCCCCCACTTTCTCTTGTGGCATTTCTTAGCACAGGTAGGATGGGACTGTTGCATTGTCCACTCTTCAAGCCCAATGGGCTCTCGTGTGAAGGGGCGTGTTGAGATATATAGTCCCACATTGGTTGTATGTGCAACTAATGTGGAGTTTATAAGACCTTGGGCACTCCCACCCTCTGAGCTAGCTTTTGGGGTGGTGTATCCCAAGGTTCTTTACATGAGTATTTTAGGATTTCCTCTTGTAAAACTGTTAAAGAGATGTGGAACTGCTAAAGAGATGTGGAAAGTTTTAGAACTCACACATGAGGGTACTAATGAAGTCAAGAGGTCTAAACAAAATGCCTTAACTAGAGAATTTGAAACTTTTGAAATGTTTGATGATGAGTGTTTATGATTTGTAAAAACATTTTACTCACATCATTACAAGGTTGAATGATTTCGGTATTCATTACAATGATGAGCAACTTGTCAAAAAAATCTTGAGGTGCATGACCAAGGAGTAGGATGCTAAGGTATTGGCTATCTATGAATCAAAGGATTTGGAGACAATGCAAATAGCCACTCTCTTTGGAAAACTTCAAGAATATGAATTTGAGATGAAAAGACATGCATTGAGAGATCAATCCAAGAAGAAGGTCAAAGGGATTGCTTTCAAGTCTACCACCTCCAAGGAGCAAGAAGATGATGATTCTAATGAGGAGGAACTTGACCCCGAACAAATGGCTCTCTTTATTGAGAAATTTGGCAAGTTTTTTAATAAGAAAAACTTCCTAAAAGGCAAACAAGGAGTTTCTGCCCAAGGAAAATTAAAAGGAGATTCAACTCATCAAATGCTCAAATTACTTGCTTTAAATGTGGAAAGCAAGGTCACTATAGGAATGATTTCCCTACACTTCAATCTAAGCCTAAAAGTGACAAAAGGTCAAGTAAAGGCAAGAACAAAGGAAGGAAAGCATATATGGCTTGGGATGAAGATTCCTCTAGCACAAGTTCTTCATCAAGTGAGGAGAAAGCTAATCTATGCTTAATGACAAAAGAAGAGGATGAAGAAAGTGAGGTAAGTTCTAATTGCTCTTCTTACAATCCTTCTTATGATGAGTTGGAAAATGCTTTTAATGAACTCTTTGAAGAAGCTATGTCATATGCTAAGAAACTGAGGGTTATTAAAAAGCGTAATGATGAATTAATAAAAAAAGTTGCATCTCTAAATAATCAACTTAAAGACTTAAAAGATGAGAACGATACTTTACAGTTGATTAATGCTAGTGCTACTTGTCTTGTATGCTTATCTAGATTTAATGATGCATCTTAATCTTCTACATCTTGCACTATGATACAATCCCATTGCAGGTTTATCAAAGGACCAAGCATAGGAAGAGTTGGGCCCTCAAGGATCAGGAAAGCCCAATAGGAATTACACAGCTGGTTGGTCATTCGGTGCTGGGTGCAAACCAGGTGGCACAATTTGACAATCATATCCCTCAACAGAATAGCAACGTGGCAAAGGACGCGTGAGAAGGGTCGTTAGTGGAAGAAGCATAAAAGCTGTTGAGGGAGCGTGGAAAGGAGGATCTGGAATATTTGCTGCTGGGTCCCTTGTGGGAATTGGGAGAGAGTGGAACCAATTAAGTGCCTCTCCTTCCAAAACCACCATTACTGCGCTCACCTTTTCTGCCTCAGTCACCTCATTGATCGCGAAGTACCTCTCAACCTTGCTCACCCACCCAAATGCATCCTCGCCGGAAAATATGGGAATCTCCAACCGCTTTGGTTGAGCGAAATTCATTCCTCCTCTTCTTCGGTTACCGTCCCCTCTATTATCGGTGCCGTGTTCTTCGTCGTTGTTCTCTCCTTCCCTTGAACGGATTCGTATGTCCCTCGCCATCTCATCCAACCTTCTGACGATCTCAGCTACTCCTCTTTCACTAGCCTCCATTCTGAGTACCACCTCTTGATGCCTCGTTTCGCTTGCATCCAACCTCAGACACAGCTCTTCGTGCCGAGCACAACCCCTACGCAACCCTTCTTCTATCGAGTCTAAACGGTGTTCCATTTGTCTCGTCCAGACCATTCCACAGAGCTCCTAGATCGGAGCTCTGATACCAATTGTTAAGAACCAACCAGTATTCAAACTAAGAACAGGATTTACTCAAAGAAATAATACTAAACCTTCCTCATTCATATAATTCTCAGCAACATTACATACAGAACAGAATTGTTTAACATAAAAGACAATACAGAATTCCAATGGAAATTAACAATTGCAAAATAGTAAAGATAGTTGTGGAACACATATGAGAGGTTCCACTCTCTCCCAATTCCCACAAGGGACCCAGCAGCAAATATTCCAGATCCTCCTTTCCATGCTCCCTCAACAACTTTTATGCTTCTTCCACTAACGACCCTTCTCACGCGTCCTTTGCCACGTTGCTATTCTGTTGAGGGATATGATTGTCAAATTGTGCCACCTGGTTTGCACCCAGCACCGAATGACCAACCAGCTGTGTAATTCCTATTGGGCTTTCCTGATCCTTGAGGGCCCAACTCTTCCTATGCTTGGTCCTTTGATAAACCTGCAATGGGATTGTATCACACTACATGTGAAAAGTTTAAGGAAGAGGTTAAAAGGTTGAATGATGATTTAGAAAAATTTACATGTGCTATGGAGAACTTAGTCTAGTGCAGAAGCTGAGTATCGTGCAATGGCAAATACTACCTGTGAGTTAATCTGGTTAAAGCAGTTGATTCAGGAGCTTCATCTTTGTGAACAGAAACAACCCATGACACTTATTTGTGATAATCAAGCTGCGCTACATATATCCTCTAATCATGTCTTTCATGAAAGGGACCAAACATATAGAGATTGATTGTCATTTCATTCGAGAAAAGATTCAATCAGGAGAAATCAAGACTGCTTTCGTCAACTCCTCTGATCAACTAGCGGATGTCTTCACTAAAGCTCTTAGAGGTCCTCGGGTTCAATACATTTGTAACAAGCTTGGTACTCACAATATATACGCACCAGCTTGAGGGGGAGTGTTAGAATATATTAGATATGATTAGATATGATTAGAGTCTGTAATTATTCTGATTGTATTAGGTCTGGGCCTTTCATATAAGCCCATTAGAGTCTCTATATATTGTAACTCTCTGAATTAGATCAATACACAACATATTATTTTATATTCAAGTGTTTATATGCTTCTCTAACAATAAGCCAGCAGACAAAGCCAAGGAAATAGCATAAAGAAAAATAGAATGATCAAGTAACATAAAAGCATTTTTCTCATAATTCCTGTCAAATATTTATATCCGTACCCATGTGCCATGCATAACTCACGGATTGAAATGTTATGAGAGGTGTAGAAATATTTATGCAGTATATTGGGTTCAACTTTATCTGCCAAAGGAAGAAGACTGAAAATTGCACCTCCATGATTATTTACCACAAGAATCGTCATTGGTTTCCGCAATTTCCTGAAAGTTGATATATTTTAAGAATATTAGCTATGAATCATGTAAGTGAAAGTAGCAATGATAAAGTACAGGTTTATCGTTTATGCAACAATAACTACACTAAGAGATAATAAGTAATCTTGTAACAAAAATTAAAATAAAATCAGAAACTAAGTTTATATCTGAAGATAACTTTTCATAACATTATGCAAACGCTGGATACTTAAAAAATTACATTGAACCTGCACTAGAAAAATAAGATTTTCTTTATTTTTTTGGTTGCAAGAGGAGGAATGTGTTAAGAAAGAAAAAGATAATTAGGAGTAAACCACATGCATGAAGGAAACTGAAAATAAAGTAAAAGTAATAAATGCATATATCCAACTCACCCTAATTAAAACAATTACATAGTTCGCTCGACTACTATATATACAATGAATCTAGATACCTAACAATTCACGTTTCCAACAGAACGCGTTAACAAATATAATACAAATGAAAGTTTGGTAGATAATTTCCTACCGCTGGTTCAAAATTGTCAGACCGTTTGTATCATGCAGTAAAGAAATATCTCCAATTACACAGAACACCTGAATGAAATTATGAAATTAAAAGAAATGTTAAAAAGAGAAATAAAACAGAGAAATCTGAGATTTTAGTGGAAACTGTTGTAAGTAATCAGACTACACACTATACATATATTGATGAGAGAATCAATAACAATTGATTTATGTTATCCTAATCCTAATCAAATATGGCCATATCCTAGTAAGATATTATTATATTCTAATTATAATATTCTAACACTCCCCCTCTAGCTGGAGCGTATAAGCCATATGCGCCAAGCTTATCACGCTTGAGAAGCATTTGATCTAGAGTTAACCAGTCAACGTACTCATAATTGACTTCTTCATTCGTGCGACCCTTCTCTAACAGAAACTTCAATAGAATCTTAAGGTTAACAAGAAACCGTTGGAATTTGATGAGAAGTTATTATTGGTTCCATGATCTGGTTCCAAAACAAATAATTGACTGAAATCTGATAGTTGAACAATGATGGAGCCTTGTTCTCCATGGATGAACTACTCCGATTATTTTCAGAAGACATTGCTGAAGCCATGGAAAAACAAGGAATGGTTCTGGACCTCAAATTGAGGGCTCTAATACCATATTTGTGTTCAGGGAAAGAGAGATAGAAAGGGAGAGCAAATACAATTGAGAGGAGAGGCATTGTATTGATCTGAATCTTCGATGAATGGAAAAGATAGATGAGTGAATACATCAGGTTCTATTTATAAAACCAGGTGCTGACTCAAATATGAGTCAATATCTAACTAATACCAACTGAGAAGCTATTTAATTCTAACAAACCATAATAGAAAGTGAGAGAAGTAACCATATACAACACGATACATCATACCGACAGTAGGAACAAAGCTAGAAAGCTAGATGACAAGGCTATTCTACTTTTACTCTAATACGTATAACTTCTATCATACTATCCAGATCCTTTCATTGATGATCCTAAACCATGTCTTACACCTCAGATCCTGCAGAGCAATCCTCTGATTCTGTCAAATTCTCCCATGCCATCTTAGTGCGTCTTGACAAGAAGAATCATCTTCACATGAATTCAAAAGTTGAAGCCATCATCAAGGCTTATAGATTTCAACATTTAGTGGAAAATTCAGAAATTCCATTAATATTTCCAATATAGGAAGATCACAAACTTGGAAGAATAAATGGTACATATCTTCAGTGGGAGCAACAGGATCATATGATCCTAACATGGTTATGATCGACACTTTTCGAGGCCAACCGTAGCAAAGTGGTTGGTTGCATTCACTCGAGCCACGTTTTGGACAATATCCACACTTTCTTCCAGTCTCACAAGCACCCAAAGGCTTGACATCTACAATCAAACCTAAGAAACACAATAAATGAAGGTCTCACAATCTCTGAATATTCTTTCAAATCATGTCAATTGTGGACTTGTTAATCTCGATTGGTGATCAGGTCAGCACCATATACCAACTCGATGTCATCCCTGAAGGTTTACCTCAGTATTAAGAAGCTTTCTAATCTCTTTACCAGTCCCACGTAACCTTGCACCATCACTGAGATTGACGGCTTGTTGATGGCTCAAAAAGCTTGTTTTGACAAGCATTGTCGATTAACGCTCATAAATGCACTATTGGTTTAGGATTGGCCCCTCCTTATCGTATTTCGCCTAAGATGAAAGAAAAGATAGGTAATCTGTCTTTTCAAAGCTATCGTCCCACAAAGAAAATATTCTTGTTGTAGGCCCTCTTCCTGGTTAGAAATATAGTAAAATCACATTTCCTATTTGTTGATATATATAAAACCATTAATGTAGCCTCACCCAAAAGCTTAAGCTTTTGGGTTGAATTGGTTCTTTACATAGTATTAGAGCCTCGTGTCCCGCGTTCGAAATCTCACCGCCTCCCACTTTCTTTGTAGTGGAATTTTCATATGTAGGTGGGCTTGTATGTTGTCCACCCTTCAAGCCCAGTGGGCTCTCGTGTGAGGGGGCGTGTTGAGATATATAAAACCATTAATGTAGCCTCACCCAAAAGCTTAAGCTTTTGGGTTGAATTGGTTCTTTACACTATTCTTTTCCTAAATCCTACTATGAATAGAGATGTTCACTACTTAAAATATCCTATATACATACACAGTAACATGGGGAGGGGTCAAACTAATCCCGAAGGGAGCAAGAGCAACAATAATGTTTATAACGCTACGGCAACATGTATAGTAAACAAAATCATAAGGAAAGAGAAAGGGGGGTTATGAGATAACTGTAGTGGATGCATCAGATGGACGTAAAGTGATTGATATAATACCTCCAGAACCAGAATTTCTTGTTTCAGAGGACAAATGTAATAAACTTGATCAACTATTAACGAGTAATTCTACTGTGGATGGGTTTGGTTAGAGGGATGTGGAAATAGAACACACTGCTTACAAGGAAGTTCAACCAAATTCTAACTCTCAACAAGCTCTAGCATCAACTTGAACAATATTTTTGCCATTGTCAGGCTCAATTTCTATCCCGCAGTATCAAACAACACTAGGCTTTGGTCAATATCCATGTGCGTAATTAGATGGAAGAGAATTGTTTTCACTATCCACATGATATGTATCTTATACAAACTTTGGGAGAGCCTCACCCCAAAAGCTAGCCCAAGAGGTAGGAAGCCAAAAGTCCATATAAACCCCACATTAGTCACCCATATAAACAATGTGGGACTCAAGTGTCATACCTTGCAATTAGATCATAACATTCCACCACGCTCCGCAGCCTACTTTGCGCTAGACTTTTCTAGCCTTGGACAAACATTGCAATGCCAGCGTCACCACCCGTGCTGCTTGATTGCAACAGGGAGACATAGTGGAAGACTCCGATACCAATTGATAAGAACCTTGGGATGCACCACCTCAAAATCTAGCTCAAAGGATAGGAGTGCCCAAGACCTTATTAATTCCAATTAGTAGTCCGTACAACCAATGAGGGACTCCAAGTCCCATATCTTCCAAATGGGTCCTAATAGTATCCAAATTACCCATATGATCCACGAGGATTGCTTTCTCTAGGGCATGGTAATGGCAGTTTCGGAGATTCAAAGGCTGCGAAAGACGTTCTTTGATTGGTGAAATCTGTCTGTGGCCAACTGATGGAACCCAGAATAACAAGAAGAATATCCATTAAACATAACAAGGAAATAACAAAGAAATACAAAAGGAATAACAATAGAATATAAAAGAAGCACCAAAAAGATCTCAACTCACCCTCAAAGCCAAAACCCTAGGCTCCAAGAGATCCTTCACCAGATCCCCTTTTTACCAAATACCCACAAATCACAGCTAAGCATCTACATATATTAATCTTAACTAAAGATAACTAATGGGCTTGGATATCTTATTGTAGGGCCATCAATACCCCCCTTTCAAAATTCACCTTGTCCTCAAGGTGAAGTAAGAGTACAGTTAAAGTGAGAAAGCTTCCACCTGGGTCCCATGTTTTTAAGCCTGTTTAGATACTAACAGATCTGGCCACATAAGACAGACCCCGGATTCTCCATCAGAGATTATTCCCATTGCCCTTCGCAAAGGTATTCGATCCACCCGCAACCTCATCCACTTTACAGTTTCTTGAGTTATGATAGACTTTCTTCACCGCATTTTACTTTTATTTCTAGTATTTCGTCTGTTTCTATTCCTAAAACCATAGGTGAAGCACTGTCTCATCCGGGTTGGCGTCAGACGCTCATTGATGAAATGCAAACACTTCACTGCAATGGCACATGGGATCTTGTTTGTGCTCCTCCCAGAAAGTCAGTTGTTGGTTATCGATAGGTATTCACAGTCATAGTTGGTCCTGATGGCACTGTTGATCGCCTCAAAGCTCGTTTAGTGGCCAAGGGATACACTCAGATATTTAGTCTTGACTATGGGGATACTTTTTCTCCTGTTGCCAAGATGGCCTCTGTTCGTCTGTTTCTTACACTTGCTGCCATTCATCAATGGCCCCTTCTACAACTTGATATTAAAAATGCTTTCTTATATGGTTTTTTAGAGGAAGTATATATAGAGCAACCACCAGGTTTTGTTGCTCAGGGGGAGAATTCTGGAATGGTATGTAAGCTTCGTAAATCTTTATATGGCTTGAAGCGGTCCCCTCAGGCCTAGTTTAGTCGCTTTAGTTTTGCTGTTCAATCCTTTGGCTTAACCAGAAGTAAAGTCGATCATTCTGTCTTCTATAGACATAGCTCTTCTAGCCAGTGCATCTATCTTCTGGTCTATGTTGATGACATTATTATTACTGGAAGCGATCAAGTTGGGATTGATCAGTTAAAGAAATACTTATTCAATCAGTTTCAGACCAAAGATCTTGGCAGAATTCGATATTTCTTAGGGATCGAAGTGGCACAGTCTAGGCAGGGCATTTCCATTTGTCAGACGAAGTATGCACTGGATATCCTAGATGAGACTGGTATGTTGGAATGTAAACCTATTGATACACCTATGGATCCTAATGTTAAGCTGTTACCTGGACAGGGAGGAGCCATTGGCAGACCCCGGTTGTTATCGCCGACTAGTTGGAAAATTGAACTATCTTACTGTGACAAGACCAAACATCTCTTTTGCAGTTAGTGTGGCAAGTCAATTCCTCGACTCTCCTTGTGACTCCCATTGGGATGCAATTATCAGGATTCTTCTAGATATCAAAAGAGCATCAGGAAGAGGTTTATTATACACAAATAAAGGGAATGCAAAGGTGTCTAGCTATTCAGATGCTGACTGGGCAGGTTCTCCTTCAGACAGACGATCCACCTCTGGGTATTGTGTTCTCCTCGGAGGAAACTTGATCTCTTGGAAGAGTAAGAAGCAAATTGTGGTCGTTAGGTCAAGTGCAGAGGCAGAATATCAGGCAATGGAAAATGCAACCTGTGAGCTCATCTAGCTAAAACAATTGCTTAAGGAACTACATCTCTGTGAACAGCAGCCCATGAAGCTCATCTGTGACAACCAAGAAGCATTGCATATATCCTCTAATCCAGTCTTTCAAGAGAGGACCAAACATATAGAAATTGACTATCACTTTGTTAGAGAGAAAATTCAGTTAGGAGAGATCGAGACAGCATTTGTCAATTCCAATGATCAACTTACAGATGTTTTCGTCAGGGCTCTTAGAGGTCCCCGAATAGATCATATATTAACAAGCTGGGAGCTTATGATATATACGCACCAACTTGAGGGGGAGTCTTAGAAATAATATTGTATTAAATAATATTGTATTTTTATTATTCTGTTATTCTAGCAGGTTATTTGGGCTTGGCCCATTAGGTCATTTAATCTCTTTACATAGAGGACTTTTGTACAGTTCAATATATGATTGAATACAATATACATTCTCACTTTTAAATGTGATGAAGGTCATGAGGATATAGGAAAAAAAGGGCTCAAATGATGTCCAATGTAATTGCAACCTGAACCCATCGAACTTGTCCAAGTTGTACCCTGATCCCGTCAGTGTATGTCTCAGATAATGTCCCAAATGCAGCCTCACCCTAATTTATTGTCCTAGATGCAACCTAGCCTTGTTGGTCATTGTCCCAGATAAAACATGGCATTGTTGGCCACTATCCCAAATGCAACCTGCCTCATTAGTCTCTGTCCCAAATGCAACCAAGCTCCGTTATTCATTGTTCATTCATCAACTCAACATGGATGCATTTAGGACATGACCTCAGTCTTCTCCCAAATTACATTGGTGATTATTTTTTCATTTTTTAAGGATTCATTTGTAACAAACTTAAAGCTTAGTAAGCTTTGACTTGAGGGGGAGTGTTAAAAGTATTGTAAATAGGTTGATGAAAAGTCCTCCATTGTTAAATTATTTTTATGAAATTGTTATAGTCAATCTATATAATAAAGCCTCCGCTATGCAATCGAGACACACAGATTTAAACATATGCCTCTCATTTCCTCGTAATTCAATAATTAGAAATTGCTGAATTCCAAATCTGCATATTCATGTATAATTTTTACAAATATATAGACTAATGTAAGTACAAAAGTCGAGAGTTGTAGGCACTTTTTGACTAATTGCACCACCCTTCGACTAATTACACATGTAGGTTGGCTCAACCACCTTTTGACTTACACATGGTAGGGTGGCTTATCCACCTTTTGACTAATTACATATGGTAGGGTGGCTCAGCCACCAAATAAAGATGTTTGGATTACAACTTTCTTAGAGAGATAGGTAAACTACAGCAACCACCAGCTGATATACAAAAGATGGATAATTTTGAAAACATAAGTAGTTACTCTTTTGTTGCATCCAACAGCAAAACCAATGGCTGTGCTAAGTAACCCGTCAATACCACTAGCCCCCCTATTAGCAGCCACCCTCGTCAAGTTAATTGGTAGGTCTGAATTCAACAAGAGAGATGTGACACTATGACTGCATATGGACCAACTATGTCCATATATATCTGCATCACGAATAGGCATACTGTTACCAAGAAAAAGAGCAGACTCAGAGGAAAGAGCTTCTGACATCACATGTGCAACATAAGGTTCAGTTAGGGAGCACTCAGCAGTTATTTGAAAATGCATCTGCCATTCAACCTGCAAATTAAAATGTTGAGATAATGTATGCTAGAAAATGACTATAGCTGTATCCAATATCAAGGCACTATTATCAGACACAACCCCATAGTGTAATTCTGACAGCATTTTAATGGAAGAGATTGGCACCAATAGAAATACTTTCAATCGAAATTAAACTAATATATAGGCAACAGCAGGAATACATCAAATTAGATGTAAAAGAAACAATGGCCAACATTATCATAACAAGAAGTAACTCATCATTTCTTTGAATTAATACCATTTTACTCAACAATTGCAGGGAAGTACACCACATGCTCCTTGTATGTGGAACTGTAGCCTTAAGTAAACAACCCACAAAATCAAAAACGGTAGTTTGTATCCGATGGGTTACAATATGTGACGGATCGTGACGAAATGGATGCTTGTCAACCATAATATATGAAAAAGGAGCACAGCCCTCAAGAATTTGACAGATTCGTTTGCTAGTTATCCTGCTTCCTATCTGCTCCACATACGAAAAAGCAAGACTTGTAGTAGCATAGACATAACTATCATACCAAAAAATGAATATGTGCAGAAACATAAAGAAAGAAAAGGAAAATTCTAAAGGAAATAACTTGAGAACTGAGAAAAGATCCATGAATAAGTGATACCTGAATAACCACATCAATCTCTAACCAGGCCTTGACTGAATCTGAGAGCAGAGCATGATCAAGATTATCTACAAATGTAAAGTTTCTTTCAATATCAGGAAAAGAAGTTAAAAGCTTTCTCAACCGCAGCCCTGACAAGATATCTGCTACAACAGGCCACTGGAGGTGTTTAGCCAAAAGCAGAGCAGCCCACATCTCATCTTCTGTATGGATTGCACCAAATAGTAGAAGACTATTCTTGGCCCTTATTATCAGATTTAAAACTTCAATCATTTCGCCAGAAGCACTTTTACAAGTATTAGACAATCCCATATGAATATACTTGGTAAATGGTTCAGCATTAGTCATCCAGAAGTCTAATCCCTTTAAACAGCTTGACAACCATTTGCGGGGACTGCTTTCCAAAGGCTCTCTGTAAGGGCAGTTAATATGCACTGGACCACACGGTGAAGAAGTTGCCCGATGTACAGCAGAATCAAGAGTAGTAAGTACAATCTTTGCAGGAATCTGATCTGTGGGTGGAGGAAGATTAAAGAAAAATCTCACAAAAGAACCAAAATGGTTGACCTGGCACATAAATTCAATCGGTAGCTTGAGTAACTGATAGGATTCAACCAGAAAACAGATGAATGTGAAGAAAAATAGCAGAATTGATATTCAGTATTATATCACTAGAGAACATTACAACAACCAGAAAAGAAAAAGAAAATTACAATAACTCAGGGTATCAAAGCATGGGAGTGATTCTGACATGGATCCTCATCTTAGATCCATAGTTGGTCTCTCTGTAGTATGCCACTTTAAGCAGGTCAGAAATTTCATATATTGTCAACCTATGTTGCACCGACACTGACAAGGGACACGGGACACGACATGACATGCCAACACGTTAATTCTACAATTTTGACATGTTAGGACACGTTTTGATTTTAAATAAAAATTTTAATATACATAATATAGTTTACATTTAATACATATAGCAACCCATAATAAGTAATGTAATCAATCAAATATTCAAATTCAATAATATAAATATAAAGCAAAAATAATTTTTTCATGCCTTGTTAATTTTTCATCTCAAATTTCATAACAGAAAATATTTGATTTATAAATTAATTTTTTATGTTTAGTTAAAAAGATAAAATAAAATAAAATTTGGATATCAAAAGAAAAATGTCGGAAAACGTTGACCGCATGTCGAAACGTGTCAGTGTCTGACACGTGTCCGATATGCATTTTTCTTCCAAATTCACATGTCCATGCTTCTTAGCTGGCAACTGAGTTGAAACACACCATATGTATTACAAGGGAGAAAAATGGTAATTTCAAGAAAATATTAATAAACTTAAGATTTCAAATGCTCTCTCCGACAAAAAAAAAAAAAAATTCACCCTCATCTTTCACTTATCTCTCTTCGGATCTCTTTCTTCTCTCGTTTGCCTCTGCTCATAACCAATTCCAAGTATCCTTTTGAAGCTTTGATGAAACTTTGAAGCCCTACTATTGTAAACCTACCCATGTATTTTTCTCTTCGAAGTAGATTTTCCGGTGAATTTTGGAGTTATTAAGGGTGCTCTAAGGAAAAAGGGATGCAACCCACTCTTTATGAGTTGACTTTTTGTAAAGAACCAATTCGATCCAAAAGCTTAAGTTATTGGGTGAGGCTACATTAATGGTTTATATTATTCTCTCACAATCCTTCACACGAGAACCCACTAGGCTTAAATATGGACAATGACAGATTCACCTACCTATGCTAAGAAACTCCACAATACTTAATTATTTAATAATTAAATGGAGGCGGTGAAGATCGAACTCGTGATCACTTAGTCACGGAGGCTCTGATACCATTTAAAGAGCCAATTCAATCGAAAAGCTTAAAATGTTGGGTGAGGCTACATTATCCAAAAAATTTGAGTGATGCATATTTTGCACAATTTATTTGGGGTAGGGTTATTTTGGAGCTTTGGGCATGAATTAAGGGACTTTATCAAACCTCCTTACTACCTGTGGATAGTTTATCCTTAAATAATTTCTAAGACATTGACAATATATTTCTTGGCATTCATATTTGCTAGATACCAGCTAATTTTCTTTCTCCAAAGTCATTGAAGTGATTTAGTTGGTTTTTTAGAGGTGTAAGTGAATAAAAATTATGATAGCACATTTTATCCATTACTATTATTTTTCAAATTTTGTTTTACCATTCTTGTTTAATAACATGCCCAGAGAAATATACAATTTATGGTGTAAATGGTTAAATTTGCAAGTTATAGATTTTAATATACTAACATCCTACTTATGATTTGCAATATGAATAATTTATTTTGAAAATGCTGGATAGAATTTGAATAAATAATGTTTGATTTGAAAGCATAACACTCGACAATTTTATTCATCATCAGAACTAGATTTTATTTTATTCATAGTGCCATGTCATCATGGTTTCCATAATAACAAAAAAGCTTATAGACGATGATTCAAAAGCAAATTGACAAAGTAAAATAAAAAAGAAATCAAGACGCAATACATCGATTTGTCAAAGTGATGCAAATTCAACAACTCAAATGGATCCTAGTGAATGGTGATTCTCTAGGACCAAGGAAGTGGCCTAGGGTAAAGGAACCTTTATGCCCATCTAGCCTTGGGAACAACTTATGAAGAAGAGTGCATAGAGAGTAAGTGGGTCAAGTGACAGTCACTTAGGCTAAAAGACAATGCAATTAGGACAAGGAATTGGGCACGACTAGTGATTAGTAAATATCTAACCTAGCGTCTCATTCATTGAGACAACACCAAGTGTGCCGCCTTTTTAGCTCTGGAGCTCTCTCTCCCTCACATTGTGCACCACCTCTTTCTCTTACCCATTAGTCTCTCTCTATATATTTTACTCCTTTGTACATGTACTCTTCAGAATCAATAATATTTTTCAGTTTTCTCCTTCCAAGTTGGCATCAAAGCTCTCGATTTGGTAACCTTTTGCTTTGATAGCCACAGCTTCGAGTGTAGATCCTTCATTATGCCTCTAGTGCATCTAAGTCACCAAGTTTAGAGAGGATCCTCCTCTGCAACTACGTGCCTCAATATTTGGTCACTTTCCGGTCCTCATTCCAAGAAGTTTCAATCAAATAAGCCACCTTTGCGTCCAAGAATTTCTCTACGCACCTCAACACACCCCTGAAAGTTTCAACCACCCTTTTTCTCTTAGGCCAACCACTTTTTCAACTATTATTCAAACCAATCAATCTCAAAGTGAGACCCATATCCCAGATTGATTGAAATCTAGGATCCCCCTTGTCACATACCCGTGTAAGAATCCATCTTACACCGCACAACGAGCAATACATATCATGCATTACATTCAATTCATTCACATCCATATAAACCAAAACTCACGAGCTTGATGGAACAATAAAGGAATAAATCCCAATGTCCGAGAGCTTACTTGTAAAAGCTTTCCACCAAATGCTTGCTCCAAGCACTAAAATTCCACACCAAAGGTTTATTCACAAACAACAACTATAATCACAAGGTGAACTTGCAATGAACAAATTGCTAACAAACAATCGAGTCTCATTGCAGTGAATATAGACATATTCACAATTACCCTAAATAAGTCACATCCAATCCATGGAAGTCATGAACTTATTGGGCTTGAAATTACTCAAGTTTCCAATTCAAGCTCCATTAGCTCCTCCAATACTTGATCAATCAAATTTCCACAAGTCTCAATTCTAGAAAAACCATAGGCACAATCAATACAACCCATTTACATTACTTGAGACACAAGTAACACCATTACATAGGCATGCATTTTCAAAAATGTGGAAGATTACTCAAAAGGTTTTCTAAACACATTTTCCTGATTAAATCACTTCCTTAACATTATCTTTAACATGCACTAAGCCTCAATTATGCCTCAACACACCCAACCAACCAACATTCCAACAAAACCCTAAATATCCAATTTCTTCAAATATACTAGCAAGTGAAGAACTCTTACCCCAAGTCACTCCACAATGGCCCAAGGAAGGTCCTCCAACCAACAATGAGGCAATGCACCACCTCAAGCTCCTTGGAATGCCCCAAAGCCGCCTCTTTCTTCAAGTTTTTCCTTACTACACAAGGCTCTTTTGCTTCCATCATCAAGTGGTTCCATTGAGCAACAAGGAAACTAGGTTTTGAAGACCTCAAGGAGGGTCTTTAATAGTGTGGCCTCGGTTGGTGAAGAAGGATGAATGTTTGGTGAGAAGAAGAAAGTCACTTAAGTAGATATTCAAAATTTCGCATTTGCTCGCTGGACTCCTCGCTTCAGCGAACAACCCCAGCAAGCTTTTCAACACTCGTTGAACAGCTCGTTTCAGCGAGCTCTCCAGTGAGGAGTGGCTGACAAGGGGGCCTTTTGCATAAAAGCCCAATTCCTCACTTACTCCCACTTAACCATTTTTTTTTTTTTTTTTTTTTGATAACAACTTAACCATTTTTAAAATGGGCTATCTTCATCCCCAATGCTCCACATTGATTTAACTAAGTATTCCACTTATTTTATCTACAATGTACATGATTAACATTTAATCTAATTTTGTTAAGCCTTTCACTTAATTAATCTACATTATGCATGATTAAATAATTAATCCAATGCAATTAGATATTTTACAATTTAGGGTTATTATAACCTCACCAACAACTGCAATCACATGAACCTCTGGTAAATATTGAATGCACTACTATTCTTGAGCCTAATATATATAAATCCCGATGACTTACCCATTGCTCAAAGGAAAGAGAAAAAGTCTCATACCCAACACCTTATCTCTCATTTGTCTCTTCTAAGAACCTTAATTTGCAGAATAAAAGTTTTATTTCAGCACTCGATTTTATTTCAATCCTAACACCAATATACGAAACATTAAAATATGAGAATTTGGGTCTGAGCCATGCATGACAAGATGAAAAGAAATACAAAGAAATAATATACAATGTGGAACTTTGTCCCTCACACTAAACTACTCTATTTACAATATTCTTATCAAATTTTTGGGATAACCTTAGAACTATTTCCCTCTATCATAATCCTGTCCTTCACTAAAGAACAAAACACATGGAGATTGACTTATTCGTTGTTTAAGAAAAGTCCTTGCCAAGCATCTTATTGTATACCATATCCCTGCCATTGACCAATTGTTGATACTTTTACCAAGTCTTTTTCTGCCTCAAGATTCTACTCACTCAGAGACAAACTAAAGGATTTGGACCATCAGCAGCTACTCCATCCACCCAGAGTTTGAGGGGGTTATATTAGAGAAGTACCCATTCGGGTCTTGAGTAGCGTCAATATGCTGGCTGCAATTGATCCTAGATCAGTATCTCTTCTCCTGCCTTGTTAGCTTTAGTTTGTTGGAGTTTGTTATATGCCAAGTCAGATTTCTGTCAGTTTAGTATTTGTTATGCTTTCAGCTAGCTTGATATGTAAGTTTCAATACCTCTATAAATCCTATCTCAGCTATTGTAAGCAAAACTGAATCAATCAGATCGGAAATATTCTCAGATCAATAACTTATCTTACTTTCTCTCTCTTTATATTCTTTTCTTGCATTTTATATTGTTTTCTAGGAGTTACAGACACATAATTTCATCTGATCCATTTTACTCTCAAAACTTCAAGCGTAATCATTATAATTATTGTGTTACTAGCATAGGTCATTAGCTACCGCAGATTGAGTCTTTCTTTAAATAAAGTAATTATTGAGTTTAGCCTATACATTCTAATATGTTGTATAGATTTACCCTATGTTGTACAGACACTTCAAAAAATCTGATTAGTCGTATCCGACACTCACAGTTTGACACGCTCTGACATCTATAAAATTTGAAATTTCATTACATATCATGAAAAAATTGATCGATGTTTTACCAAACTGATATAATAAAAATTAAAAATGGATACCGAATAAATCTCACTGGAGTGTATAAGAGATTTTCAATTTGAAAATATAATAGTAAATATTTACATCTTATGTTTCTTTGCAAAATTGATGGGTACTATACGTTAAGTTTCATTTTTTTGTTAAATTATTGCATATTAAATATAATATACACTACATAAATTAAAAATATTATTTAATATTAAAATGTGTCCTAACATGTCGAAATCTAACATTTTTTGGAATTAATATGTCGGAATGTCGTGTCGTATCGTGTCCTGTCCCATGTCGGTGCAACATAGGATTTACCAATTCATTCAGAAATAATATCCAATCCTTTTCATTTAAGGCGACGAATACTGTCTTATTGAAATATAAACCATAGTATACTAGAAACTAATAGAAGTCTACTCTGGTTAAAGAAAATATATACATCTTTGAGGTCCCTCCTGCCCCGTCTCCCCAATTTTGCATCGTATAACTACCAATGTACCAGATAAAAAAGCAATATATATCACGATATTTAAGAATGTCAATGTTTTTAACCTGATCAATTGCTTGGTTTGCCCCACAATCCAGCATCTCTGGAGGTCGATCTGCTGTAAGTAAAATAAGTGGAACAAAATCTTGACTTGCCTCCACAACCTGCATGTTTTATTACTCACACAAAATGATCAAAAATATTATTTGTATCCCAACAAGCTTGAGCAGCATATCCCTTAAGAGAATGAAAAATACAATTCAAGTTGATGGAAATTGTAAAGAACCACTTCAACTCAAATCCTTAAGGAGTTGAGTGAGGGATTTTTTAAAGATTTATATTATTCTCTAACACACACTCTCACGCAAAAGCCCTTTGGGCTTGAAGCGTGGATATTGCATAGGTCAAAATTTTTTTTTTTTTTTGGTTTATCTTATGCTTATTTAATTCCACAAGTGGGGGTGGTGAGGATCGAACTTGTGACCTTGTGGTCATTGAAGCTCTGATACCATATAAAGTACCACTTCAACCCAAAACCTTAAGGTGTTGGGTGAGAGAGTTTTTAATGATTTATATTATTCTCTAACAGAAATAAAAGTAAAAACTAAGCAGGATAACAAAAACCAGCAACCTATTCAACAAATCCTAGACAAACCAAAAAAAAGGCTCCATCCAAATATTAATTACATGATAAAAATCCTTAACGCATCACGCATGTATTAGTGGAAGCCCAAATCACTAGAATTAATAAATAGTATGCATTCAATATAATAAATAAAGAAAAAGTATTTGTCATTTTAATGGACACAACTTTGTGTCATTTTAAGTCAAACTATTGTATTTTTGTGGTTTTTTACTTTCTCTTTCATCCACAAAATCAGGAGGAGAGAAAAAAAGAGTATTGTGGAAGAGAGAGAATATAAAAAACACGATAGTTTCATCTAAAATGACACAAAATTGTGTCTTTTAAAACGACAGGTGCTTTTCCCACAAATAAATCCATGGCAAATAAAACAAATTAATGGAACTCACAGCCGGATGAAGGTTTGAAACTGCAGTGCCTGATGATGTTATGACTACTGCTGGAATGTGAGATCCTCTTCCATATCCAACTGCATGAAATGCAAGTGAACGCTCATCAAAGCACGAAATACATGTGATTGACTCGTGACTTGAAGCAGCAACAGCAAGTGGGGAAGATCTAGATCCAGGAGCAACACAAAAATACTGGAAGAATGAATAAATCAGAATCTTGCATCTCAAGGTGAACAGCATATTTATAACAATTTATCAGACCATCTCACCGTCAAACCAAGTCTTGCACATTCTTCAACAATAAGTGATGCCCAAACAGCATTGATATTGGCACTTTCATTCAGTAACGCTGAAAATTCATTTGCATGATCCAACTGATAACAAGAGACATAACGTGAACAAACTTCAGCCAGGTTTACTCAAGCTAGCATTATTAAAGTAAATCCTCAATCTCAATGCACTACAAAATAGAATAAAAAATAAATTTGCTATATAACTAGGAAGCTGATGAAACCCAAATTATTCAATAGTATTTCTTTGAATCAATGGAGGCAAATCCCCTTAAAAACACCAATTTCCAGAATGACAGTAATGACAATGGCTAAGAACAGCCAAGAAACAACCTATTTTGACAGACGCAAGATACACATAGGGCTGTATATAGAACCAATTCAACCCAAAAGCTTAAGTTGTTGGGTGTGAGATTACATTAATGGTTTTATATACTTCTAACACGCCCCTTCACATGAGAACCCGCTGGGCTTGAAGGGTGGACAATACACAGGGCCAACTACCTATGCTAAGAAACTCCACAAGACTTAATTAATTATTAATTAAATGGGGGGTAGTAAGGATCGAACTCTTGACCACTTGGTCACTCCTGCTCTGATACCATATACTTGAATATGAAATAATATGTGTGTATTAAACTGATACAAAGAGTTACAATATATAGAGACCCTAATGGGCTTAAGGGAAAAGTCCAAACCTAACCCAAATCCTAAATAGGAAAAAAATATTTACAAATAACAAAGCAATCTATACAAATCTATACATATTATTTTCCTATTCTAATACTCCCCCTCAAACTGGTGCGTATATATTGTGAGCACCAAACTTGTTACAAATGAATTCAACCTGAGGACATCTAAGAGCTTTAGTGAAGACATCCGCGAGTTGATCATTGGAGTTGACAAAAGCTGTTTTGATTTCTCCTGACTGAATCTTTTCTCGAATGAAGTGACAATCAATCTCTATATGTTTGGTTCTCTCACGAAATACAGGATTAGAGGATATATGTAGTGCAGCTTCATTGTCACAAATGGGTGTCACGAGTTGTTTCTGTTTACAAAGATGAAGCTCCTGAATCAACTGTTTTAACCAGATTAGCTCACAGGTAGCAATTGCCATTACACGATACTCAGCTTCTGCACTAGATCGAGCAACAACAGGTTGTTTCTTGCTCTTCCAAGAAATTAAGTTTCCTCCAAAGAAGACACTATCCTGAAGTAGAGCGCCCGTCTGAGGGCGATCCTGCCCAATCAGCATCTGAATAACCACAAATTTCTGTATTTCCCTGATCGGAATACAACAAGTCTTTCCCTGTTGCTCCTTTGATGTATCGAAGGATCCTCACAACAGTATCCCAATGAGAATCACAAGGGGAGTCAAGGAACTAACTAGCCGTACTAACAACAAAAGAAATGTGCGGCCTAGTCACAGTAAGATAACGACCAGGATCAGATAATGGCTTCCCCTGTCCGGGCAATAATTTGATAGTAGGATCCATGGGTGTATCAACTGATTTACATCCCAACAAACCAGTCTCTTCTAGGATATCTAAGGCATACTTCCTTTGACAGATAGAAATTCCTTGTCTAGACTGTGCCACCTCAATTCCTTAGAAGTAACGAAGCTTACCAAGGTCTTTTGTTTGAAATTGATTGAACAAATATTGTTTTGACTGACGAATTCCAGCTTGATCACTCTCAGTGAGAATGATGTCATCAACATAGACTAACAAATAGATGCACTTATCAGGAAATGTGATCCTATCAAATACAGAATGGTCAACTTTGCTGCGGATTAAGCCAAAAGCCTGAACAGCAGAACTGAAGCGACTGTACCATGCCCGAGGAGACTGCTTGAGACCATATAAGGATTTACGAAGTCAGCACACCTTCCCAGACTCTCCCTGAGCAACAATGCCAGGTGGTTGCTCCATGTAAACTTCTTCTTGTAAATCACCATGAAGAAAAGCGTTTTTGTAATACCCCATATTTTTATTAATAAAATAATAATAATAATAAACTATAAATTAGTAGTAATAATAATATAGATATATATAAATAAATATTATGGTGATAGATAGCAAAGTAGAATATTAATTTTATTTTTGATAAAATTATTTTGTGCGATATGAGTGCTATTGGAAAATAATTTTGATACTTTGTAATACTCTAAATTATTTATAATAACATAATATTAATATGTATATATATATATATATATGTATATATATTAGATGATAAATTATAATTAATTGGATTATTAATTGATTGATGATTTAAGTATTTATGATTGATTGGTAATGTTTGATAGGTAATGATTGATTGGTAATTTGATTAGATATGATGAGTCAGCATTGAATCAGTAATGTATAAAGTCAATATCTGAGTCAAATACATCAATAAAGAAAAAGGAAATAAATGCACGAAACCCATATCCGAGCCCAAAACTTCAACTATAAATAGAGGCCTAGCCTAAACAAACTAATTCACTCTCCAACATTTCTCCTCTACTACTCTCTCTCCTTACTTCAAAAGTTTATTTGTTTTATTTTCTATATTCTTTTGGTTACCAACCGGTTCTCTGCCCCAATTTATTCTCTTCTAGAAGTTAGCAAAAACGGAGACTAGGTAATCCTAATCCTTAGGTATTTTTAGATTATATTTATTTTATGTGAAATTTGGTATGTGTAATCCTAATCCTTAGGTATTTTTAGATTATATTTATTTTATGTGAAATTTCGTATGTGTAATCCTAATCCTTAGGTATTTTTAGATTATATTTATTTTATGTGAAATTTGGTATGTGTAATCCTAATCCTTAGGTTATAATTTTGTTTGAAGTTTATTAATAGTAATCCTAATCCCTAGATGTTTGTAGGTTATCTGTATTATATGAAATTTGGGCATGATCCTTATATGTAATCCGTAGATGTTCTTAATAGTTTGGTATGAACATTTCTATATATATAGGTATTTGTTTTTTTTTTTAAATTTAAATTACTACATATGATAATTAGAATATTTTTGGAAATTTTTTATTATTTCAGAAATTATGATTATGTGCAATATATGGTATAAACTTTTAATTCATGTGCAATATATGGATCTTATTGAAAATTATGGAATTATACTACTCTTTAAGAAAAACTTTCCAAATATGTGTTTTAATGATTGAATTTAAATATTTATATTATTAATAACTATGATAATTGATGTGATGGGATTATTTGAATGACGATGATTGGACTTGGATTTTACTGTGATGAATGTTGAAGATTTGAATTATCATATCCTTGAATAAATTGGAAAGTTATTATGATGATCGGATTTGGATTTTACTATGATGAATGTTGAAGATTTGAATTGTTATATAAATTCAAAAATTTATGATAATAGTTGTTTGAATTATGATACTTTGAAAAATTATAATGCCCTTGAGTAACTCATTTAGAGATGATAATACTTAAATAATAAATAATTATGATTTAATCTTTCCTGATTGTGTGTGTTTGTAATAAATTAATGGTGGGAGGATAGCTTTGGGACGGTACCTCCCAAGGTGATGAACACAACTTTTGGGGTTTATGCCTCCGATGTGAAACTGATGTGAAAAAGATTATATCCGTTCTTCCCAAAGTGGTATCTGGTAACAGTGGTTTTTTCCCGGGATACTAGTAGCAACTTTGGGAAGAGGTGTGCACACTAGGAAGATGTGAATTGATTATGGCCAATTTTGATTATACGTGGCTGGTAACAGTGGTTTTTTCCCGGGTCACGGGGTAGACTGGCAGGGTTTCCCGGGTCTACCATGGTTTTCTTCCCACTAAATATAATGAATTTAAACATTATTAATAATGAAATTTTTTATTTGATTTGATTATGAAGAATGTCATTGAGTTGTGAATATTATCATATTATGACTAATGTTGTGCTAAATATGTTAGTTGATAATTACCAAATACATCAAATGAACTTAATAAAGATAAATATTATATAATGGAATTTTGATTATTATATTCATATTTGATTTGATTAATGTGGAATTGATTTGAACACTATTTGATATTTGATTTAATTTGTTATTAATTACATTAATCGTATTTTGATTGGGATTACCAGCTTTGCTGACTTTTGTGTTTGTTTGACTGCAATGATCCTGCGGCTGCGGGGGAGCAGATTTTCAGTGAAGCATGTTGCAAGGATGGGGCTAGCTGTGGGCAGTGAGGATCACGACTCGGATATTTCTAGCTGTCATAAATATTATGTATAAAAAAAAAACTGTAGTCTTAGATTATTATTTGAATGTAATAGAGTTAGCCTTGCACTTGTCCCTGTACAAGTGCGCCGGTAACACTTCCCAAATTTGATTATTTTGAACTTCCGCTGTTATTTATAAAATTATTGAATTTATTTATGCTATTATAAATTGTTAGAAATTTGGGGTGTTACAGTTTTTTATGTCAAGTTAAAGGAGTGGCCAGTGACGAATAACAGCAAGAGCAAGAAACATGCGAACAGATGCCATCTTAGCGACCGGAGAGAATGTGTCACTATAGTCAAGGCCGAAGATTTGAGTAAAACCCTTTGCAACTAAGCGCGCCTTGAGACGATCAACATGGCCATTAGGTCCAACTTTGACAGTAAAGACTCAGCGACAACCAACAATAGACTTCTCTGGAGGAGCAAAAACAAGATCCCAAGTGCCATTGGAATGAAGTGCAGTCATCTCATCAAGCATCGCTTGGCGCCACCCTGGATGGGAAAGTGCTTCACCTGTGGTCTTTAGGAATAGAAACAGAAGTAAGACTAGAAACAAAGTTGAAATGAGGAATAGAAAAACGGTCATAGCTCAAAAAAGTATAAAGAGAGAATAAGGGTTACGAGCAGGACGTATACCTTTTCTTCGGGCAATGGGATGAGCCTCTGGTGAAGGAGCCGGAGGGGAAGAATCAACAAGAGAAGGCGATGAGTCAGCCAGAGTCGATTCGACAGGAGGCACAGTTTTACGACGCTGATAGGTGAGAAATTGACGGTCCTCAGGTATGGAAACAATAGATCGCTCATCTGGAATAGAGTTACCTGCA